AGAAAATCATTTCAAGTTTTCACACCATAACATGTACTTTCTCAATGTTTGGTTAATATATACAACAAACTGTTCACAATCAGAAAAACTTAAATAATTTTTTACATTACAGGATTGTGTGATAATTCAATTAATGGCTTAAAATACCTCGTCAACAATCAACACATTTAGTAACTACATGTCAAGGATTATTTGTCAATACTGGTTTTAGCTATTATTAGTCAGAAAAATTCCAATTGAAGAACTGTGAAGTTTTGGGAGAAAAGAGCACTTGCCTAAGGATTACATGAAGGAATATGGAATAGATGCACAACTAACTTACCCAAGGAAAGGGTTCCAAGCAGTTAACAGCACAAAAAGTTCACAACACAATTAATTTGATATTTTTCCCCACGAGGGGTTCTTCTGCCAGGCTAAGACTACACTACTTCCTTCTTAAGAAGCTTCTAGGGTGAGTTAGTTGTGTATCTATTCCTTATATTCCTTAACCTGTGCTGTAGTTGTATTTTTATGTTTGTGAAACTAATGTAGTTCTTGAAGAATGTACAATAAAGATGGTTAAGTGTGCATTGTTTCTGCAGGTCAGGGGACATATCCAGCGGAGGGATGTTGACCAAGTGGCAAGCCTCCATCACATCTGGACTTATCTCAACATCCCCTCCCGTAGATAAGACCCGCACTCCAAAAAAGTGAAGTCACATCGTACATTTTAATTCTTGTACAGTATTTCACATTTCTTCAGTATTACGCCAAGATCTGTATTTGTTTTTAGTAATGTACTTACAACAGTTTTTATTAGGAATAATTCCAACCGGTGGTCATAAACAGACTTCAATTCACAATGTTTTAAGTGTTTAGTGTTTTGATTAGGATTTAAAAGGTGGTTTAAGATTATTAAAGTTTACATTATGATTGATTCACAATCTGCACAGTAGAACCAGTCGTATCAGGCCAGCTCTGGACCAAAACTAGGACGGAGAATGATGCTGTAGAACAAATCAAACTATTATTTAAAAAATCAACACTAATTGACACTAATTCATTCAATTCATCCTAATTCATGCATTAATTCGGGTAAAAAGCTGCAATTTTTTTCTGGATTTATAAAAAAAATTAATTTTAATAAAGCCTATCTTGGTGCTACTCACTGAATCAGTGAGGATAGTATAATAGATAAACATAGATTGTTTGTACGTATATTAGCTATACTATACTGCAAAGTGCAAGGCATAGACTGAGAAGTTCCCAACAAGCCTAAGTTGACTTTTTGTTATTAGTGTCAGAAAACCATTTTGTTTTTAAAATTTCGAGAAGCGGCTGGATATATTAAGGACTGTCAGCCAAGGCTGGATATGAGGGGTTCTACTGTACCACAAATTCCTTCTATCAATTATGTTTTCTATTAGTGAGTTACATTCCCTATAAGCAAAGTACTTGTACATTTTATCGCAATCCTCAACAATCTATTGGTTCCTTTTGTTCAGTATTTACTAGTTGTTATTTATTTAGTATCAATTTAGCTGTAAACACTATATACTTGAGTAGGCAGGTAACGTTAAAATTTCACACTTCAAATTTGATCTAACCTCTCAGAAAAAGGAAATCGACGATGGGATATTGCTTCAGCGGTCATGATGGTGGCTTCTTCTTTCAAGCATTGAATTAGCCTATTTCAGCTGTGTTAAGGAAATCAACAATAGGATAAGCTTATACAGTAAATTGGTCATTAATTTACCTGTGCTGACATCTTCAAATTGACTTAACTGTTACTCTGTCCACTTATTTATTGTGTCTATGGTTAATGGATTTAGATTTATTAGTTTTGTAAAATAGTATAAATGTGAATCCCTGTGATATATTCTCTACTTGAAGACTGGTTCTATAATATTGTTATGTATCCGAAGGAGGCTAATATTCATGACATCCTGTGTGATCTGATATAAACAGCGCAGAATTGTTTCAAAATCAGCTGTCTCTGCCACTTGCCTGGCTATTTACTTGCATATCACATCAGCGGCCATCATAGATAGCTTCTTACATGTATTCAACTGTTTCAACTGTGTCAAAAAAAATGTTTGTGTATAAAACACATTTTCTATGTATGCTGGTGCTCCGAGCCCAGTTTTTAGCAAATACCACGGCATCCGACTAGTGTTTTAGCCATCCGAGTAGCAAGCTTGAACGATGTGAAATTGTTCCGAGCTGCTGTGGCCAGTACAGCTGGCTGATAGTCTTGGAGGACTTAAGGATTGAGTTTAAATAGTATTATGAATTTAAGTAGAGCCTACACAAAATGACAAATATGCCATAACATAATTATTGTCACACACTTTACAGTATTATATTTCAAAACTTAATTATTATTTTTTATCCGTAAAAATAAAATATGTGTCAGTATCTCTTTGAATAGTTACAGCATACCTACTGCAACGTTGCGTATCATTATGAATACCTTGGCCTGGATGAAGTCAAACAGTATAGACATTTTGCCAACAATGGGCCAATAAAAAAGGTTAACTAAAATTAGGGATGGACGAGATTGGATTTTTAGTTCGAGACAAGACGAGATTTTTTATTCCTCATAAAATTTCGAGACGAGATCGAGACGGGATTTCCTTTCTCATACACAACAGGAAATGCACGTTCGGAATTTTTACCTGATTTTGTAAGATTGTTAGATGACTGTTTAAATACAAAAATAATGATAATAGGCAAGAATATTTACAATCTTTTATAAAAAAACATCAGCATAACATTTTTTTATTAATCACGCCTAACATATTAAAAATGCCTACGATTAGGAAACATAGTGATATCAGTTAGGATAGAGTTCAACTTATCCTAAAATAAAATAAATCTTAAAATAAAATCTCTATTTTTATAAAATAGTTACTTGTTTTGACTTTTTTATAGTAATAAAACATTCCTCACACTGCTAACACTTAGAAAAACTTCTCAAATGTTATTAAAATAATTAAAGTAATATTTACATTTAAAGAATTAATTAAATAAGAACGCCTTCGCAAAGGAAACGCAACTACAACACGCTCCTGTATTGCGGGCATTGCATTGACTTTCTGCAGGCGTTTTTAATTTTTTTTTTTTTTTTTTTTTAATTCTTGTCTCGATAAAAATCTCGGCCAAAAAGAAATCTCGTCTCGTGTAACGAGATTTAAAATTTCCCGAAATTTCGAGACTTGACCATCCCTAACTAAAATAATGGTAGAATCTGTGAACCCTGGTGATAAAAGGTATTATAGTTTATACTGTATTTAAAAACTGTTATCTACATACTTAAATAGTTTATTGAAATGTGCAATTTGCACATAGGTACCATCATAATGCCCTTTGGCATACATATGTAAAATTGTTAATGATTAGTGTTTTTACTTGTCAAGATCACACAAAAAGTTATAATAATATCAACTATTCAACTTTTAGAAAACCTTTTTATTTTCAAAGGCAATAATTCTATTTGTCTTACTATTTTTAGGATCGGCTATTTGTTAATCTGATAAGATATAAATATTCATTATAATTTATTCATTAAAACTGTGTGTTGCTCAAATCTTACTAAATTTTTTTTTAAATAGCTGATTAGATTTGTTATTTATTACTCTTTTACGTAAAGATTTAATGCTTGACAATATGTCCTGTCATTAATACATATGATAAGTAAGTCAATAAATTAATTTACATCAGCATAGATTAGTTTAAAGTTTTTTAAATATGACATTTGTTACTGGTTTTAAAATGTGTGCGCTTCACTACTTACCCTCTCTTTCGCGTTTCTTAGAAGCTTTGGTTTCCAGTTTACCTGAGAAAATCAAGGGGTGGCGAATACAAAAAAATGTAATACTGATATTTCTTCCTAATAAGGATTTTTTCAAAGAGTATAATGGAGGGAAAGATTCTTATGCTCGCAAAACGCTTTATTTCTTTCCGAACAAAAAACTCAGCCACTTAGTTCCACTACAAGTTATTTTTTACCTAATTATAAATGAGTTTTCACATTTTTTTGAGGTACTGTGTTATTTATGGTATTCTTTTTATGGGTATTTATTTGTATCAAATAAAGAGATTTGACAACACTTGCAAAGTTTTTTTCAACCTAGCAAATCTGTCTTAGGAACCTGCATTGTTTCAATGGATTAAGTAGTCTCATTTTGTTGGCCTTCATTCTTGTTGTCGCTTGTTCGCCCTCATGTACTAAAACGCTTACGGTGGAGAAAGACCCTGTGCCCTGAGAGGTAGGAATTTCCGCACAGTGCTCTGGCCCTTCCTTGCCCGTCACAAGTATATTTCTGGCACAACATGGTTGTCCTATAAGCAAGTTTCCTCTGTATCTTACTTCTCTGTGTTTGAGCTTAACCAAAGCATTGCACAGCATTATGTTAACTCTTAAAAGTCCCAAAAACCTGGGTTCAATTTGTTCTCTTTCTGTATTAAAAAAAGGTTACAATCCTGAAATCATGAGTGGTAAGTGTTGTAGTCATGGAAGATTTTACATTTATAAAAACCATAAAGGAAAGAAAAAAACCAATTTACAAGAATAGCATTTTAATTTTAACAAACTGGTGTAGGCTATATATATTAATTAATTGTCAATTTGTCATAATATAAAAACTCAATAAATATTAACTACAAAATAACAACAGTCTATATTAAATGAGTATAATCTATAATGATAAAGTATACAAATAATATCTTTATCAATGGCAAATCAATGATTTTTGCCTTCTAAAGACACAAACACAATTGAAAACCAACTGTTGCATTTGGATAAGTAATGATTTTTTGTCTATGTATTATTGCAAATTTAAAATAAAAATATATTCATTCTAAAAATAAAAATAAATGTTTAAGAAAATTTCGAAAAACAGCTACAGAATGATGTGATGTTCTATTACAACTAACAAATCACATTATAAAACAAAAAGTAAAATCTAACAACTTAAAATTCTTAAAAAGCTTACCTAAAAGACAGTTTTCTGCAATTACAAATTTATTTAATGTTTAAAAACAAGTATGTAACAAGTATGTAGGTTAATTAAATTAAAAGAAATTGTAAACTGGATGAATCCATCCAACTCTTAGATCTTTTGATAACAAATATTTATGTATAAATTGCTGATAATAATTGTCAAATTTCTTAATGTTTTGTGGTTTGAATAAGACACAACCATTTCTTCACCATTGTTTACCAACTTAAACTAACTAAATCATAAAGACTGAGAAAAAGTATAAATTATCATCACTGAAATCCAGATAGTAAGCTGTTTAGTGTTTACTGATTAGTCTGAAAATAATTTATTTTTGTATGCTCTTCCTTATATTTCACATAAATAATATATACATTAATATAAGAATAAATAAATATCTTACCAAGAAAGAACAAAAAATAACAAAAATAAATGATTTTCGATGTTCTTGAATCATTTAGGGTTGTTGCTATTGTATAACTCAATTTTATAGAAATTATTAATACAAAATTAAGTAACTGTGTACTACATCTGCTATGACGTTAAAATAAAAGGTTTGTGGGACTTTGGGAAGAGGATAACATTTTATACTTGAGTTGGTGTTGTAGGTCTGCTTAATTTAATAAAAGTAAAACAGCATCAATAGGAAACAAAGGTACGGTACTAGCATAGATAAAACATACTCCCTTAGTAGATTTCCCATCCGTATGCAACAGCTGAAGCCAATTTTATCGTTAGTTCTGTCCAGTGCACTATCGTTTAACCAAATAAAACGATATATAATTATTAACAATAACTCATCCTCTAGTTATAAGCACAAATCATGAAACTAACTCTAAAATAATAGAAACAAAATTTCATCGACACTAACCACCAGTGTCACCGGACAAGAAATAGACACAAAAAACGAGTTTCAAAATTTACAATGGGATGGGAAGTCTACTTGTGTTGGTTAGTCTATGTTACTAGCCTTTAAAGATAACAAATTTATAAAGTACGTTTCCTACATTTTAGATATTTAAATTCCTTAACTTAAATTTACAGGTGTAGAAAACTTACAGGGAAACAACCAATTTACCAATTGATATTTGGATAATTTGTTTTAACTTATCTAACATTATAATTTGTTCACGAAACTATTGATTCACTATATTTTGTTGATTGAACAACAGGGGTCTGCAATTGCAAAATGAAAACCATTTGAGGGTTGCACTACAACTAAAGATCATTACATATAAAATAACCTTGAATTGATTGATTTACAGACTTCATTGAGAACCTTGCAAGAAACATAAATTTTTCTCAAGAATTTTACAGTAGAGGTAGAGAGTTTGTAAGGAAAACATTTGTTTTTATCTAAGATTTGATTTGAAGCAGGATAAAACAAAATGTGGGAGTAATATTTTAAGGGTGAACCTAGCCCAATATAGTAACAAAAATTTGGGATGAATCGTGCTCTAGTAGAAACAATAAAAATGGTTTTTTGTTTTGAAAGGCACAATTTGTTTTCAACCAATGAGATGTGTCAACTGAGTAACATTAATTGTATGGAATAGTTTAGATTCTATTAATAAAAAATGTATTCGGTTTGCTTCAATAAATACCTACATAAATATTTTTTTTTTACAAGTCAATAAAATAATATTTGTTCTACGATTCCCATTAATGCTTTAGCCTAGGGGATGATAAATATATCAATCAAATAAGGGAACACTAACAGATTGACATGGCTATACACAAAAAGTTAACGCATAAGTAAAACAATACGAGAGGAAAAACATTATCCACATAAGTACTAATATAAATAAATTATGAGGTACAAGGACAAAGACTTTCTCATGAGTATAACAGTATATAAAAAATTATAAATAGTTTTTCCTGTAGGGAAATTTAGTTGTAGAAAATATATAAAACTAAAACATAAAAAATGTCATGCATTGAATTGCAGTCTTTACAATATAAAAAAGATACTTACATTCCTTTAACCATAACATAAACAATTTGTTCGCTGGGGTTTGCTCATTAATATCTAAATTGATCCGTAAACCTACACATGGACAATAAAATCCCAAGTGTCTTTCCACCTCAGTTTCAGAATGTCGTTGACAGAGAGTGGTGTTGTACCGTAACTGAGAACACAAAACTTGCGAAAGACGTGGAGCACTGACAAGATGAAACAGACAAGGGCAGCGTAAAATACAACCCTTGCTATTGGCCACCTCCTGAAATATAACCAGGTATATATTTTTTGCCACTCGGTAAGCAGCTGGTTTCTGTACTCTTGGTAGACCAGAAAATAATTGGTAAAATCAGCTATAGTGTGGTAACTTTACCGAATCTTATGGTACAGTTTTCAAAAACGCATAGTATGAGTTATAAAGTTACAGATATTCGAGTCAATGAAGCTAATAAACAGCTGATAGCACAATAAAGACAGGATTGGACATGCATATTGAACTTTCACAATAAGTATTGGGTTTAAGAGTGTCACCTTTTAACTAACTCCAACATCCTAGTCAAATAGTGCATATTGAACATTGTTGTGATTATATATATGGGTTGTCATGAGTAATTTTTTTTAAGTAGTGTGGCAAAAAGTAATGTACATGGCTCACACAGGTAGATGTTGATGGTACTCTCATGTCAACTAACATGCTCGTACCATAAACACCTACTTCCCGGCTTTGTCATGTAATAAAACTATTTTTCCTACAGTTACCTAACAATGTACATGTTCTCTCACTGATTTGAGAAAGCAAAGTGGCCAATTCGCTCATCAGTGAGACAATGTTAACATTGTCTCACTCGAATTACTTTGTCTCACTCCAGATATGCAACGTGAATGCACGAAATAGTGAGCGCGTAACATGCAGGCAACGTCGTATGCGCGCGAAATACGTTGGCAGCACTGGCTATAAATCAGTTGGTCAGCTGTTGTACTGTTGTATTTGTCACTTCACATTAAATGTTATATTAAAAGTTCACTTCTGTGTAAAAATAGGTTATGTTTCTTCACCAATTTATTTGTTTTATGGTAACTGTAGGAAAAGTATAATGTGCAACTCGAGTTCAAAGTACAATTGCCTCACTCGAGAAACCATTCCTCACTCGCCGTAAGGATTTCTCTCGAGTGAGTCAATTGCTCACTTTTCTAGTTCAGTCAGTTAGTGTTCAGTTTGTGCAACTAGTGAGTTGCACAAATAACTATTTTCTTTGGTGTTTTTCTACGCTAACTGCAATTTTACATTTTCCGTTAGGGAATAGTCCAACTCCAAATCCTATTATTATCTTATTACCGAAAAGAAATCTTACACAATATTTATTGACAGGACTAAGATTATTTATTGAAAGGCATTGACTAACCACCTCATGACCACAATCAGTACCACACTCAGTAAAAACAAGTAGTTGTTATCTGTTCATGTGTATCTGAATGTGTTTTTATTTTGTTATGAATCTTCCACAATCCTAGGGATGAAGAAGAATCACAACAACATGATACTATACTAAACCAGCTATTGTCCATAAACTAGAATCACCCTACAGTACTCTCAATTTCTACAACTTTTCTACAAAAACTAATTGATAGATAGGGTAAGTAGCTTACATTGATCCAACTCACCAGATAACAACACAAATGTGTTCCGTAAGAGCGGCAAACAAAAGTATCTTGAAGACCAGGGCAGGTAAGTAATGGTGAAGGAACATGGTGCGATCGACAAAGAAGAAGGGAACGTAGTGAAATAGATAACCGCAAAGTAACACTTCGCCTGTAAGCAGGAAGCGGCTCCACTCCTCTGTGGAAACAAAAATCATAATTACATCTATTGATATGTAGGAACAGTCGTTGTGACTTAAATGTGATAATATTGCTCTTGGTAAAATGAATTTATTAAAATTTATTGGTGATATTTATTCTAAAAGTACTAGTTTAAGTATAATTGTAAAAAAATCATCCTAAAAGCATTATACTCAAAACACATATTTATTTCAAATAGAGGAGAGAAAAAATGTCTCACTATAAAGTCATTTTTATTTTACAAAGATTGTCTCAGAGGATTTGGGACAATCTATGGGAACTGTCTAACTTGGCGTGGATAGTTGGACCGGCTTGGACTCTCATTGTCATGGTGGCCACTGGCCAGTGACCTTGAATTTCATAATCTACTAAGGCTTTGCAGTTTGCACACAACCAATGATTGCTCTCTACATATTATTTAGCAGATCACATATTACCTGGACGAAGCGATCGGCCATTAGATGTAATATGACAATGTAACTCTCACCTTGTGATGGATCGTAGCATTGTCTACGTCGTCGTAACAAGTAAATCACAAGCAACACTGAGTAGACAACCACTCCTGCTGTACCACTGTACCAGACCACCAGGTTGCCAAGCAGGTGAACTTGACCCTGGAAATGTGTGATATCACAAAATTAAATTACAAAATGCTTCAAAAATTATTTTCAGAACTTTTTAGCAAGATAGAAGCAAAGTATGGGTATTATCCAAGAAAAATGAAAAACAACTCATGGTTATTGAAAAAATTCTAAGAAAAATATTTGGCTCAGTGCAACAGAAAGAAATGTGGAGGATAAGGAAAAATAGGGAGATAAGATACACTATACACCGACCCGGATATTGTTTCAATGGTTAAAGGAAGAAGGTTAAGTTGGATAGGGCATTTGCTAATAGAGAAAGGAACAAGACTGTATGAAGTTTGGAGAACACCTGGAGGTAAACATCCATTGGAAATGCCAAAGTTGAGATGAATTGGACAGATCAAGTATCGAACGACGTCAGGACGATGGGTGCAAACGTCAACTTGGCAGAAGACAAAGAAGGGTGGACGAGGCAAAGAATCGACTGAGTTTTATGGAGCCACGGCAGTAAGTAAGTTCTTTACAAGATGAATCAGCAACAATGTGCTTGTGCATTTAACTATTAATTGCTAGTTAATGACACGAGTCCCATTTTAATACAAAACTAGGGTTATCTTGCAACTCCAGCGAAAAACAATCTAGGTAAAGAGTTCATTCATGTTCCCCAACTGGAATCAGCATCAGTCTCAAATTTTGGTGATGGATACAGATACCGATATCTAATAGAGGTGTGCGGATAGTGAAATTTCATTTCGGATCGGATAGTTGAGGCTCGGTTCGGATCGGATCGGATATTGGGAGGTTCGGATTCGGATATTTTCGGATTCGGATAGTTCGGCGCGGTTAATAATAAGCTGCATATGTATTTTTAACCTATAAAACAACGTAAAGCTGTGTAAATAAACTTAAATGACGATTTTGAACTATAGAATTTCAAATTAGCCAAGTCCACAGTTTTCTCTCTCTTGAAAAACACAATTCACAACATTTATTTTCAAAAGTTGGTTGCTTGAATTAAGTACACTAGCAGCCGAAATCTTCACAAAACACCTTAGCTCAGCAGGACTGATGTCAAACGTTTGGGCTTGTTTACTTGAGGTTATGTTTTATCTTGTTTCCTGGTTCTCACAAGCCAAGGAGTTCGATCTCAAGTTTATTTTCACATTGTATTTCCTTACGTTTTTGGAACGGATTATTGGCCTTAAGTGGCATTTTGCGGGTTTGCCAAGTTTAGAAAACATCACTAATGCACTAAGATGGGCTCTAGCTCACGATTTGATGTTGGGCAATTAAATTAGACTTTATAACTGTGTAAAAGGTGTGTATCCCTGAATTTATAAATTGCATTCTACACTTATTCACTGGCAAACATAATTCAGTAGAACCTTGATGAACCGAGAATTACACAAGCCTACATAACTTCATTACCCCAAGTAAAATACCAAGATAATTTTTATAATTGTATTTGAATCGTATAATCTTAGTTTGTTAAAAATGGATTGTATGTTCAACAATAATTGCAGTCCATTATTGTTAACAGTATGGTCCCAAATTATTGTTTTTGATTTTGAAACATCACAGTTCATTTGACAAATTTATAGTTGAAGCAGCCCAATGTCAAGTCACGCTTGTGCAATAGTTTGTTTACAAGCTTTCTCCAGACCACGGGGGAGGGGAGGGTCTGATAAGCCGTCTATTGTTCACCCCCAAGAAGGTTCGACCCTTATTTTTGCCGCTCGGCTGCACTCAGTGGGGAACCCAATACCACAAATCAATCTTTTAAATGAATACAAATATTTGGTAATAATTGTTTTAATAATATTCACCTTGAAATTTCAATAAATTTGGTGTAAAATTTGACAAAAATCGGCCATTTTGACTGATTATTAATACAGTACCAAATACCAATAAAGTAGTACATTCATTGGTAATTAAATAATAGGTAAAAATTAACCGATTTTCGTCAAGTTTTACCCCCCTGCTGTGCGCTATGTCACAAAAGCTGATAACGACATGGGTGATTAGTAACCATGGCAACTTGTTGAATGCGTGATGAAGGGAAACCCAAGAAATAGAAGAACAAAGAGAAATAATAACGACGTTGTTATCTTTATACCCTTTTTACAATTTCCGTTATTGTTATCTTTACGTAAGATTTTATGATTTTGTTTTATAGGTTTATAAAATAACTAGTGGCTTGTAGGGACATAAGTCCCTAAAAAGCTGAAATGTAAAACAACATATTGCAATTCCGGTATTTAAACAAACTCAGAATAACATTATCTATGTGTCAGAATAGGCATCCCTACACCATATCTTTTGTGTAAAAACCAGTTTGTTGTTCTTCTTTGTTTGCTTTTGTTGATGTCATTTTCAATAAATAATTTGAATCACTCCAGTGGTTTAACATGAAAAGGCAGCAAACATATCATTGTTTGTGAATAAATACTGGTTTACTAAGGTAGCTTTGGTCTTGTGGTTAATGAGGATAAATAAAAGCTTCCCTGTTTGGAATTTTAAAAATTAATTGGAGGTTCGCCTTCAGATGAATTGAAGACGCCTGCAATTTCATCTGCAGTAGGCTTATTATACCTACGACGATCCATATTTATCCTGTCTACAAACCTAAGTTCAAATTCACTGTCACCTTGTACAACCATTTCTTCCGAAGCTCTTTTGTAAATTTGTGCAAATGGATTTTCTAATAGAATTTCAGCTAGTTTTGACAATATTTCAGGTTTTAAGTCACTATTTTCTCGACGCCTTTGACGAATTTCTGTTGCTGTTGATGTGTCAATAATGTACAATTGGCCATACACGGGGTCTTCATCATGTTGAGGCAGCAAATCTGAGATTGAACGATAAATCTGTCCTTGAATTTTGAAACAGTATGGTCCTTTTCCTGGAATATCTTTCTTACTGGCTAAAAAATAAGCAAAAGCCATCGCACTGTTGTATTGTCGAATGAATTTATACAGTTGTGGGCTCTCTTCAAACAAATTTTTAAGTTCTACATTAGTTTTTGGCTGAGGAAGGTTAATAAGTCCGTTATGGCAACATGTCATAAAATGATTATTTGTTAGTTCTTCTCTAAAATGAAGAGCACTACATTGAATGCACTCTTGGTCCAGTAATCCTTCATCATGGATATTTTCATTTCTCTCGTCTACCATGGGTCTCCTAAAAAGGGGTTGTAACATATCTTGATTAAGTTCGTCATTATCTACTCTTGCTCTTCTACGCGCACTGTAATTCCTATGAACAGCTCCCCGCCTTTGTGGTCTTCCCCTGGCGTTCATATTAATTACAGTACTTATAATGAAAAGAATATATATCCAGCAGCCTACATACCAAAACATCTTGAATCCCTGGTGATTTTATAAAAGTATGATCGAATATGATTACTCTACGTTGAATATTCACTGCACTAAAAAAATATTTACTTACGAAGGAATGCAAATACACCATTTTAGAACCAATAACATTTGTAGGTTATTTTAGTTGTATATATTAACACAACCTTAACCTTAAAATGTGTAGAAATATAAAGAAAACAACATCATTTAAAATAAACTTGAACATATGATTTAAAAATAAAAACAAAACAGAAGTTAGATTTAATTTTGACTCTTTGATTATTTATACAGAATATTTATTCTATGTCGTTTATTCCTTTAACACGACAATAACGTAAAAGCATGAAAAAATGAAACTTGAGTATATGATTTAAATATAAACAAAGAATGCAGAAGTTTTTCCGATTAATCTTCAAGATTTCTGTTTTATTATAGTATACATTTCATAGTTGACTGGCTAAAAGTAAACCAAATGCGTGTATTGATCACTGTTTTCAAGATATAGCACGATCAGCTGTATTGAAGTAAACAGAAATCAGCAGTAAATGACTTCTGTTTTAATTTCAAAAGATATAAACAAATTAAACCCCATGTTGTTTTAATGGGAAAAGTTTTATTCTGTTGCGAATTTATGGTAAAAAAATAAGAAAAATGAATAGTTTTCCCTCAAAATTCACGTCAAGACCTTAAAAATAAGACCCCTCCCATCCTTCTACGGCCAGTCACTCACAATTTCTTTACAAAAATTTGACTTACGGAATTATATATATAGATTCTTTTTAACTACGGAATATCAATTTATAATTTATCAACGTGCTTCTCTTCTGAAATAGCAATACCGGATGCATAATAAAGGTCAATGACCTAAAATATCCCGATTGTGCAATATTGTATTTTGATGTTGAAATTAAAATCACGACAAAAGTTTGTATATATCCATGGTCCCTATAGTTTAATCATTTAATATGTACACAATCATTGCTAAATAATCGTGGTTAGTTCTAACTTTATTTTTTATCATTCAAAGTTTCTACACAGTAAGACAATCCAAAGTCAAACCAGGCAATGAATACCCAAAAAACAACGTATATTGTCCTGTGATTGGAATACCACTCGCTGGCCAGTCCTTTAGGTTTAAGGAAGTAGTGCAAATCTATATATAGCTTCAAGGTCTTACCCACCCCTTCCCCCTCCGGTCCTACTTGACTCACTACCCGCGCTCCTTTCGAGGTCATTGCCCAACCCCTCCCACCCTTCTATTGTGTTGCCTTTCTATTGTTTCTATTTTGACTTTTTTTCGGGAAACATTAAATCTATTGTTTACGTAACATCACAGTAGTAGGCTACATTTTTCTACTTTGAAACAGTACTGTAAAAAAAACTATTACGCAGCGCCCCTAGTATCAGGAGCGAGACAAGCACGAGTTGACTTTCATTTGACCATGGTAGTTCTTTTCTGCTTTATGTCTGTTCGTTCCAGACGAATCTAATCGTAAAGCAAAACAGCCGATAACGACTAAACTAGTTATCAGTATTGCATCATACGGCTTCTTTGCCATTTGCTGTTAGGTTGTTGGAAACGTATTGCTGTAATTTTGTCCTGGGAAACTAATGGTGGCTATGGAGATTTAGTTTTCTGTCCAAAACGTCAGTCTATCCGAAAAAGTCGGATATATAACGGATAGTGTCGGATATCGAATTTGGGCCCGGTTCGGATACGGATATCCGAACCGAACCGAATCCGACCCGATTTTTCGGATATCCGCACACCTCTAATATCTAATAATCAGTATTCTCAAGAATCAACTCATCGCTGATTGTAACAAGAACATGTCTTGCTCGAGAACAGGATCGATGATCCCATAACGGAGTAAAATATTTAATCCTTTGCAAACTGATATGGAAAATGTACTTTGGTATACTGACCACACCTAGTAATTATAACCTAACCTGGCCTAAAGGTGGACAATGTTTTAGGTTAGAATAGGTTAGGAATATTTTTTATTCAAACTTATTGAAATCTTATTTGGAAGTAGATGTAAGTTATTGGAGTCGGTACCTATAATACCAAAATACCATTTCTTAGATAATTTCTTCTTCCCACCACCACCTGGAATGAACATCTTCCAAATAATCAACAATATGTGATCTACTTGTCACTTTTTGACTGAACACAATTTTTACCTAGTAATTTTGCTATTAGCCACAACATTTGTGCTAAGAGTATCAATATCAATAGAACTAGGGATTTCATGGCCATGTTCAAGTATTTGCCAGATTTAGAATCAAAATTTGTTTTCTAAATTTTGTCAAATTTTTAACCAATACAAGTCAAGCTGATTTGACGGCTATAGCATCTTTTTATATCACATTAACTATATCAATAACAGAAACAAAATTCTTTATGTTTAACTACTTCAGTGACTCACATTATTTTCTGTGTTGACCCAGTAAGCTATGCCTCTAGCCATGAGAGGCCACTCTAGGGGTTCACTGCTGTACATGTGGTTCTGTACTCTCTCCTGGTTGGACATGAGCATCTTGTATTGCAGCTCGCTCAGCTTGCTCCAGAAAGACAACTTGGTCACTTGTAGCGGAATCATCTCGGCGTTCACCAGATCTCTTTCTCGCTCCTTCTCATCCTCGCCTACAACACAGATTTGTTTAAGTTTTAATGACTTTTGACCATTTTGATCAAATTCGGTTAGCTAGTCATATGGCTTTGTTTACGTAAATGGTTTGGAAATAATTTATCTTTGTCATTAGTGTTATGTTTGTGGTTTATAGGGGTGTGCGAATACTACTTTTTCTGTTCGAATCGAATACGAATCGAATAGAGTGAATTTTGAATCAAATTCAAATTTTTTTGGAATCGAATACTTTCTCTCGAATAATGGCCATTTTTTGACCGAATACTAACCCTCAAATAATGAAAACTTGAAATCAATGTCAAGTCAACTCTCAATAACTTAATTACTAAAACTGTTGGTACCTATATTTTTTTTTCAGAATAAGTGTAGTTTGTAAATGTATCTTTTGTTTATTTAATTTAGGCCTAGTTTAATTCAATAGGTAACAACTGAACTTAGATAATAAGTAAAGGTACGAACCTGAACCAAGTTTTATTAGTCAAAATTATAAAGCACTACCAATAACAAATTTTGTAAACACATTCAACCAATTGGGTAGTGATAATTATTATAACCACATAAAAACGCACATTGTTTTCTTTTACTAAGTAGGGATATAGGCCTACAACTTACTGTCAGCCCTAAGTTTATGTTTTAGAACATAAACTTTAAAAAAGGTATGAAGGTATTTTATATTACACCTCAAGATATTTAGTTAATGTTATAAAGTCAAGAAGTGGACATTTGGTTTTAAACAAGTAGCCTACATAATACAATAGCAAGAGGAAGCGCTCGGTAGAGACAATGAGACGACCCTTGTACTTTGCCCCTACGCTTCTGGAAAGCCCTAGAGAAACGATCGGAGCTTCAGTCGAGTACGAGACACAGGTACGCATAGATAACTCGCGTTTCTGCCTGTAGTTGTAATCGTAATTTGTAAAGTTACATTCTGGTTACGTTTTTAAAGTATCGTTATAATAACTGGCGACGAGGAAGTAAGTGCGTATTCACGCGATTTACAGTGAAAAGTATAGTACTGTTAAACTTAATTGAGTGGTTAATCAAATTATTTCGTGGGCTAGGCCTGGATCGGGTTTTCGTGTTGAGACAAAGTGCTTCATTTCATGTTTCTGCGTGATGATTTTATGTTGCAACATCGTGAGCACATGTTTTATGGATGATTTTATGTAAGTTTTCTACAGTCTGTAACCATGGCAAAACAACTCATCGGCAAGGTTAGTGAATTTAATGAGGATTTAGAAAGTTTTGAAAACTATGTGGAGAGACTTGAACATTTCTTTGCTATCAATACCATTGAGGATAAAACCAAGGTTTCATTTTTTGTGTCTGTTATGGGGCCATCCTTGTATTCAACCTTAAAGGATTTACTACATCCTAAATTAGTAAAAGATGAGAAATATGAAGAAATTATCAAAGTTTTAAGGAAATATTTCACTCCTAAATGTAACATAACCTATGAAAGGTTTATCTTCAACAGACGTATTCAAAGGGAAGGGGAGAGTATTAGTGATTATTCTATTCAGCTAAAGAAACTTGCTGCCACTTGCAATTTTAGCTCATTCCTTGATGAGGCCTTAAGAGATAAGTTTTTATGTGGTTTGAAATCCTCACAGATTCAAAGTAAGCTCCTAGCAGAAGGGGATTCTCTTACTTTTTCAAAGGCTCTTGAAATCGCCTTGGTCTTAGAAAATGCTGATAGCAATGTTCGATCCTTGCATCCAGAAAAACAAATGACTTATGAAGTTAATTATGTTAAGAATAGTAGGCCTAGTCATAAGGTACCTACTGCACCATCTGCAGTTAGGCCTAAGAGTTTTGAGGTACGAAGGGGTATGTTTCCAACAAAAATGTTACCGTTGTGGGAAACAGCATGATGTTAAAACTTGTCCGTTCGTAGATTTTACCTGTTTCCAATGTAAAAGGAAAGGTCACTTAGCCAGTGTGTGTCGGGCTAGAAATAGTTTTAATAAGTTTAAGCCTAGCGGCAATAGGCCTAGGCCTAATGGAAATATCAATTTCTGTGATTCTCATGAGGACAATGATGACGGTCCCAGTCAAGATATTGGGGACTCGTCATTCGAACTTTATACCATAGCATATGCTAATGATAACAAACCAAATAGTTTTGTAGTCAATTTGGTTGTTAACCAGGTTCCAATTGAAATGGTTATAGATACCGGTGCTGTTGTCACCTGCATGCCAGACAGTATTTATTGTAAAAATTTTAAAAGGGCTGGCTCGGAGTTGGAAGATTGCAACATTAAGCTTAAAACATATACTGGAGAAAATATTCCTGTTCTCGGAAAGTTTCAGGCACATGTAACCACATCGAAGGGGGAATACTACAAGTTACCTGTCGTCGTCGTCAAGAGCTCCCGAGACAATCAACCTACATTGATGGGACGGAACTGGCTGGAACAGCTCCAGTTGGATTGGAGGGCGGTCACCCCAGGTCGATTGGAATGTGCTACCAAGGAATGTGCCAGTAAGGATGTGCATCTCGTGAACGGTAAGTCCGTTCCAGATGACCTAGTCGCTAAGTTGAAAGGGAAATTTGCTCCTGTTTTTGAGGAAGGACCCGGTGAAATCAAAGGCAGTTCTGTAAATATTATTTTGAAAGAAAATTCCAAACCGGTCTTTTGTAAGGCCAGAAGTGTACCATTTGCCCTTAGAGGGGCGGTTGAAGACGAGCTGGAGAAATTGCAGAAAAATGGGACCATTTACCCTGTAACCAAGTCCTCATGGGCGACTCCCATTGTTGTTGTACCCAAGAATAATAATGAAGTTCGAATATGCGGGGACTTCAAGGTCACTATTAATCCTTGCTTGCGGACGGATCACTATCCGTTACCGAATCCTGAAGATATCCTTACTCGGATATCAGGGGCAAAATTTTATTCAAAGTTAGATCTCTCTGCGGCTTATAGCCAATTAAGGGTTAATGAGTCCTCACAAGAGTTGCTCACAATCAACACACATAAGGGATTGTTTCGTTACAAAAAGTTAGCCTATGGTATCACTAGTGCAGGGCCTTTGTTTCAAGCGACTATGGATCAGATTTTGAGTGGAATAAGTAACACAGTGTGTTATATTGATGATATTTTAGTGTTTTCAAAGAGCCTATCTGAAATGGAAGTTTTAGTTGAATTAGTTCTTAGTAGGCTAATGGAATATGGAGTAAGAATCAATATTAGTAAAAGTGAGTTTTTCAAGTCTAGCCTTGTGTTCTTAGGCTACCGCCTAGATGAATTGGGAATTCATCAGAGTGAGGAATTAACCAGGGACATATTAAATGCACCCAAGCCAGAAAATGTTTCTCAGTTGCGGTCATTTTTAGGGCTCATCAATTTTTATGGAAAATTTATTCCTAATTTGGCAACCTTGCTACACCCGCTCTACAGACTTTTGAATAATGATACAAAATGGTTCTGGTGTAGTAAATGTGAGTTCGCTTATGAAGAAAGCAAAAGACTGCTAGTTAGGGACAATGTCTTAATGCCCTATGACCCAAATCTAGATGTAGTAGTCACATGTGACAGTTCAAGCTATGGTATCGGTTGCGTCATCGCACATGCCTTACCTGACAAGTCAGAGCGGCCGATTGCATTCGCTTCGCGTACGCTAACGAAATGTGAAATAAAGTATAGCCAAATAGAAAAAGAGGCTCTTGCGTTAGTTTACGCTGTGAAAAAGTTCCACAAATTCCTATACGGAAGGAAATTTACGTTGGTCACAGACCACCGTCCATTGATATTTTTGTTAGGGCCTACTAAAGGTATCCCGACACTTGCAGCAGCCCGCATCCAAAGGTGGGCACTGACCTTGGCCGCTTACCAGTACGACATTCGGTACCAGAAGGGTACGGATATTTCTAACGCTGATGCGTTATCACGACTGCCCTGTGACAAGGGAGAACTCGAAGGTGAGATTTCTTTCTTCTCTTACGCTCACCAGCTACCGATTACTTCAAGGGAGATATCTACAGCTACAAGGTTCGATCCAGTTTTGTCAAAGGTAATCGACTATGTTACGAACGGATGGCCAGGACATGTTGAACGAGAAGATATGAAACCTTACTTCAATAAAAGCACTCAACTTTCAGTGGAACAGGGTTGCATTTTGTGGGGTAATAGGGTCGTAATACCTCCCACACATCAGAAAGAAATTATTTTGTTGCTCCACTCAGAACATCCGGGTGAGAGCAGAATGAAGGCTTTGGCCCGTAGTTTCGTCTGGTGGCCTGGATTGGACAGACAAATTGAAGATATGGTGAGTACGTGCTCAATCTGTCAGAAAACACGCAAGTCTGCCCCATTAGCTCCACTCCAAACTTGGACTTGGCCGAAACACTGTTGGCAAAGGCTACACTTGGATTTTGCCTATTTTGAAGGTAAAGATTTCCTTATACTAGTGGATAGCTGCTCTAAGTGGATTGAGGTATTTTATATGTCCACAACTACATCTCAGCACACCATTGAAAAGCTCCGTCATTGCTTTGCGGCATTTGGGCTACCTTCAACAGTAGTAACGGATGGAGGACCGCAGTTCAAGTCATCTGAATTCAAGGAATTTATGGAAAAAAATGGTATACATCATATCCTGACACCTCCATTTCATCCTGCTTCCAACGGCTTAGCCGAAAGAGCAGTACAAACAGTGAAGGAATCATTTCTCAAACAGATGCTTCATGATGCCAAATGTAATAGCAAACGCTCAACGCAACACCACATTGACGCTTTTCTGTTCACGTACAGGAACACACCCCATTCAATGACAGGATTGACCCCATCTGAATTAATGTTTAAATTCAAGCCCAAAACACATCTGAGTCTTTTGAAACCTCACTTGACCAGTCAGATGGAGATTAAACAAGAAGGCATTACAAGTACGGCCAACAATCACCGTGGTAAGCCTCGGAGTTTTGTAATTGATGACAACGTTTACGTCCGAACAGTTCGGCAGGAAAAGATCAAGTGGCAGCCGGGAGTTATAACAAAGGTTGTCAGTCCTGTGACATAATTGGTCAGAGTTGATGGTAGGGTTAGGTTTGTCCACGCAGATCATCTCAGAGCAAGGGCCGGTGAGGAGGAAGAAGAAGATGATTTTATTCGTTTCCCAAGAGAAGCCTTTCGATCAAGTCCCAAACAAACTCAAATAACTGAAAGGAGCCCTCAGAACTCGCCTTTGAAGAAGGCCATCACTACCGCTACCCCTCCTTCACCGCAAAGGTCACCAGAACCAGTCGTCACATATGATGCAGACCAACGCCACGACCAACATCAAGAACAGGCTATCCTTCGACGCTCGCAAAGGCCCCGGAGGGTACCTAAGAAACTGGACATGTAAATAGAGAAAGAAAATCCTCCCAAGTTTTGTTTTGTTTATTTTATTTGATGGAAGCACATTCTCTTTTTGGTTGGGAGGAATTGTTATAAATCGGAAGATTATTATTTATTTTATATTACACCTCAAGATATTTAGTTAATGTTATAAAGTCAAGAAGTGGACATTTGGTTTTAAACAAGTAGCCTACATAATACAATAGCAAGAGGAAGCGCTCGGTAGAGACAATGAGACGACCCTTGTACTTTGCCCCTACGCTTCTGGAAAGCCCTAGAGAAACGATCGGAGCTTCAGTCGAGTACGAGACACAGGTACGCATAGATAACTCGCGTTTCTGCCTGTAGTTGTAATCGTAATTTGTAAAGTTACATTCTGGTTACGTTTTTAAAGTATCGTTATAATAATAAGTAAAGGTACGAACCTGAACCAAGTTTTATTAGTCAAAATTATAAAGCACTACCAATAACAAATTTTGTAAACACATTCAACCAATTGGGTAGTGATAATCATTATAACCACATAAAAACGCACATTGTTTTCTTTTACTAAGTAGGGATATAGGCCTACAACTTACTGTCAGCCCTAAGTTTATGTTTTAGAACATAAACTTTAAAAAAGGTATGCCTAACATAAAACTTGTTGTCATAACTTAACATAGCCTAATCTCATGACTTGGGCTTAGGCTACTGGACAACTAGGTTTGAAGGTACAAGAACCTAGGCCCTATTTTTAACCATTTACAGTACCTAGTTTAAATCTTCGATTGAAATAATAAAGCATCTTTTAGCCTAAATGTAGGCTTACTTAAACTTAGGCATTTTTAGAATGAGTTTATTAAGGTACATAGGAAATGTATAATTATTAACTTTTAACCTACTTTTAAGGACTTTTCACAAGTGTTGCATTCTGCAACAGAGCCCTTTTGACGAAAAAATCCCAAATTAAACTCCTTTACTTATTTTTGAATTCTCGTGATGATGTTGAAGGCACATTTAGGCCTAAATCGGCTTCTTCATCTGAATCCATCTTGTGTCATTCAACCAAACTTAAATAAAGCCTAGGCCTACAACTTTTAGGCAATATCCAACTGTATAGGACTCGCTTTAAAACAGGACAATTTAATTAAGGTTTTTGATAGGCTATGTGTTTACGTTAACTTCAAGAATCGAAACACATGATTCTGGATTAATTAAATTGTATTTGTTATTGTCTTTTCTTGAATCTAGAAAGAGCTTCAAACAAACTTTACTAGTCTTAGAATAGACATATAAATATTTTTTACGCCACACTACACTATTTTGACGAACTTCCCAACAGCTGTTTGTCGCCAGCTTAATCAAATGGGGTTTCATACAGTACTACTGTACTGTAATGAGTTTTGCCGGACACCAATCAGCTGGTTATACTGTATTTGGGTGGCAATGAGTGGTTATAACAAAAACATAACCTCTCTAAGAGGTTATGACTAGTGATTTTTAGTCCTTTAGTTGGTGGTAATATATGAGGATTTGAACGGATTTAGTAGTATGGCGTAAACTATCGTACGTCACTCGTCCAAAATGTGTGTACCGGACTCGTATAAAAAAACCACTACTTGACTTCGTCTCGCACGGGATTCAGGACTAGTAACGTAATATACTATTTTACCACACTATGATGTTTTTAACTGCTTTACATATAGATACATTAATTGGTGGCTGAAAGTTACGTTTTGCAGGCCATGCCAGCTGTCATCGTCATTCGGGGATCGAGCAGGTTTTTACATCCCTAGGGCCGCAAAATCAGCTGCCCGCTTACTTTCTTAAAACATGAATGCATATTAAATACACAATCAGTATCCATAGCATTGCAATAGAGTTGTTTTATTGTCACCGCTGCCTAGCAACTATTTATTATTTTTTTTGCTGATTCCTCAAATTATTTATCCACATGACCTTAAAGAGTTGTGTTGACTATATCAGTGTGCAGTGCATTATCATTGAGGTGAATTAGTGGTAATAGGGTATAGTGTGGTGAATAATAGCGTTCGTACCACGGACTGAAATTGTTTTGCAGTTCTTGATCGTTTTAAGTCCTCGACTTCGTATCGAACTTAAAAACTATCTCGAACCAGCAAAACCTCATTTTTGGCCCTAGGCACGAAATATACTATTAAGTTTAGGCCTAGTAATATTTTTGAGACTGAAAATTTTACACTTATTTAAAAAGGACCAAACTCAGAAGTGGATTAAAGGGCAATTTAGAAAATATCTCAAACTTTTTGACATAACTTTAAGTACTTTCTCCCCTACAATTTAATATGGTAAAAGAATTGTTTATGTAAAAGCCCTGATCCCAAAACAGTGGTTTTCGAAGTGTTGTGTTTGTCTGTCTGTATGTGTGTATGTATGGTACAGACCTACAGACCACGCCTGTGGTCCGAGTCCGATTTTGATGAAATTTGGTATTTTAGGTACCTACCAATCCATGGTCTCTCCAGATGTTTTTTTTTTTTCATTTTGGATTTTTAATAGTGATATTCCATAAAACCCTATAAAATAATGGATGAATAAAATTATCTCAGAATTGGCCCGAATGATTTTGATTAAAAATTATCATGTCATACTTTTTGACAATGACAAAAATTGTATAAACCCTCTATGCCGTAAAAATTATGGTTCAAAAGTTATTGCAACTTTTGTGATTTTCCCTTTTAAAACCTATTAATTCATGGAAAATCGGATTAAAAAAACTACATGGCCAATTTTGGTTCAAATTGTGTGCATGTTAAAAATCCAACTCATTTAAATTAAAACTAAACTAACAAATAGTTTGATACTAGAGTTTTAAAGCAAAATTGTCCATTTAAATTGGGTTAAAAGTTTGATTCAAACGCTTAAATTCCCATAAATTTAAAGAAGTGTCGGGGGCACCCCTTCCCTCCCCGCATTATAAACATAACTATGGGTTAGCCCCCAGACCTTCCGGCATGACAACGAATTTGGGGGGGATTCTGCGACGTGAGCTTTGGGGGGGATGGGCACCCCTGCTTAGCGCAGATGTGCTAAACAAACTGTCTCTAAACTCCAACCTCAAAACTTCTTGACTTGTAACACAGCTTGCGCTAATGCAATAGAAAAAAGAAAGAACAGAAATTGTTGTCTGCTAGAGAAGCAGAAGAATAGAAGCAGACTTCCATAGCATGTGCGAATTACGTTTTACTCTGGCATCACGGCAAATCTATCTAGCAGACAACATTTGTATATATCATATTTCAAGTTTATAAAGGTGACGGTGCGCGTTTTGGTACCATGTATAAGAGAACTCAGTATAATTTGTTCCGGTATCTTATTCTCCATCACTTTTTCAGTTTTCTTCACTCGAAATAGACACATCATTGTCGTATGCTAGATTTATGTAGGTCTACCGTGATCCCAGAACAAAACGTAACTTGAACCCGATCGCCATCGCCAAGAACAATGAAGGCGGATGAATGCTAACGTAGTGTTTTGCAGCACATAATGAGTTTAATAATGTTAAAAAATAATAAAATAAAATATCTAAGTGAGTTTTAATTAAATATTGTATTGCATTTTTATTTAATCTGAAGCAGCTTAACAGTTTTTATTTATTTTCAAACCAAGTTAGAACGGAACTATTTTACCGACCTTGTTTATTTGGCTAATGGCGGAGGACATTATTTCATTGGAAACTCACGACACGATTACACAATAGTTGAAAATGAAACGTTGTCACTCGATAGTCGATAGAAACTGATAACTATTCGTATTTTAGCCCGATGGTAATTTTTTATTAATTACTTGAAACACTTTTTTGGCCAACTTGATTTGTTTTATGTTTTCCAAAGCTCCAACTAATTATGTGACCAGATGCGAAGTATTCGAAAAGGTCCGAACTATTCGACCACCATCGAACTATTTAAAAAATCGAATACTCGCAGATAGAATGAATCGAATCGAGTAGTAGTTTTACTATTTGATTCGATTCGAAATTTTAAATATTCGCACACCCCTAGGTTTAACACAATCACATTATTGGACTCACTCGGAAGTGGAATAACAACAACTGTTGCATTTGTAAAGACACGACCACACACAGTTGGTTAGGGTTGGACTGCTGGATGTGACAGGGGTGAGAGGCGGACAGTCTTATGATGTAGGTGGAGAGGGGATCAGGTGATGTTGTGTAGCCAATGCCATTTTTTCAAAAATCGTTACTTGGCATGATACTTTAATACTCTACTTTGAAATGGTGACCGTATGAATGTAGGTATTTTATTTTTAAGCTAAGTATGAATATGATATTCCTTAGACTATGGTGCCAAGGTCCCCCGGTAAAATCTCGCCATTCACCAATGGATTGATAATGTCGGGATCGTCTAGGCCGGTTGAACGGTTGAAGGCTTGAGCTAGCTTCCTATGACTCTGCCACTTATAACCTTAACTTACTCTTGGTATATCGATGTTCCTCCACGTTCCACACAGTGTCCTCCTGGTTGATGACTCGGTCTGCGACAACCTCGTGCTGGTTGAAGCCCCAGTCAGGAAGTTGTCGGCCGCTAAACTTCAACGCCTGACTTGTGTTGACATGGATAAGCCTCACCTTAAATTAAAATTCAGGTGTAATCCCAAATGTGGCACTTAAGTGGTACTATTACTCATTTATGCTTTTAGTGTAGACAAAGTCAGGCATATACCAGGTGTCAAAATTAATATCGGGTCTATAACACTTTATATACATTTTATTTTATTACATTAAACTTACTGCTATAAATGATAAATCAAATGAAAAAAGCAACTCAAAGAGCTTAAGCCTTCCAACAACACTTTAATTAAGAAAATACTCCAGTAGAACTGTAGATTTAGTTGTACAAAGTCCAAAAAATCTCTGACTCGGTAATTTTTGAACTCTATAAATTTGGAGGTCCCTTTACTTTTTTGCAAATACAGTAACTTTTAAATGGAGAGGGAATCGGCCAAAGTGGAAGGTAATATTCTGAACGAGAATAAAACTTCCTTCAAATTACGATAGTGCATTTCTTGAAAATACTCAATAAAGGCAGCCAAAAGTTGCCTCCAAATAAAAAATGTGAAAGCCCCCGTTTCCAATTAAAACAATAGACATAGTAAGAAGCTAACGTCTTGACGTGTGCCGTCTGATAAATGGTCCTCACATTGAACACTTGTAGGCTTTGTAAAACTCTTTGAGTTGCTTTTTCATTTGATGTGTCATTTATGGTGGTAAATTAAATGTAATAAAAGTTATAAATCTTTAAAACCCCGATATTAATTTTGAAACACCCGGTATCTGAAGAGATATTGTCCTTTTAGCTTTCTCACTGATGATTATTTGAGTTAATTTGTTTCAATAAACTAGGGATGGACGGGATTGAATTTTGAGTTCGGGACGGGACGGGACGGGAGTTTTATTTCCTTCCCGATTTTCGGGACGGGACGGGATTTTTTTCTGTGCATAAATAGAAAGTCTTGAGTATTGCAGTTACCAAAAAAGACATACAAAATCAATTTTTACCATTTGTGGCACTGATCTATAAAAAAACCAAAAAATGGGTAACAATTTACAGGTACCTATAGAAACTTGTGACTTGCGGTCGAAATGACTGGCGGTCACGGCGCGATCGTCGGTATGACTCCGCGATCACGGGGTGATCGTCGGCATGACTCCGCGGTCACGGCACGATCGTCGGTAGGAATCTGCGGTCACGTCGTGATCGTCGGTATGACTCCGCGGTCACGGCACGATCGTCGGCATGACTCCGCAATCAATTGTAATCCCGTCCCGATAATCGGGAATATTTTTTTCCCGAAAAATTCCCGAAATTTCGGGACCCGTCCATCCCTACAATAAACATTAGTTTTGAATTTCTAAGCTGTGTTTACATGCTGAATGTGACTTGTTTTGTTTGCTAACATGGTGTAAAATGAAATACTTTTTATAAAACTCTTTGTAATAAAAAGGATTGTATACTTATTTTCTAAAAGGGGTTTTATTGATAGCATCACTGAAATATAAATAGCATTGCAATGAAAGAACTTTTTAAAGAATTTAAGTAGTAGTTTTATATTTAAAAAATGGTTTTTAATGTATGAAAAACAGACATCATTGACACCCGCGGTCATGGAAACGTCATCGTCGTATTCTGCAATTGCGGCAAAATCATGAACATCTCCCACGGCCATGTGGACATCATTATCATCATTATCATCATCGTCTTTCACAGTCACGGAAACATCATCGTCGTCGTCCGTGATTGCAGCAAAATCATGAATATTTCCCGCAGCCGTGTTGATATGGTCATCGTCTTTCGTGGTCACGGAAACGTGATCATTGTCTTCCGCGATCACAGCAAAATCACTCAAATCTGCGGCTGTGAAGATATCATCATCGATTCCCGCAGTCACAGAAACGCCATAGTCGTCATCCGCGATCGCGGCAAAGTCATGAACAATGTGTAGACACCATCATTGTCATCTCTCGCGGTCACGGAAACATAATCGTCATCGTCCGTGATCGCTGCAAATCACGAAAATCTTCCGCGGCACTGTAGACGTCATCGTTGTTGTACACAATCATGGCAAAATCATGAACATTTCCATCGTCCGAGTAGTCGTCAGCATTGTTTTTCGCGGTCACAGAAACGAGATCGTTGTCGTTCATGATCGCGACAAAATCATGACTAATTCCCGCGGCCGTTTAGACGTTATTGTCTTCTCCTGCGGTCACACAAATGTCATCATAGTCTTACGCGATTGGGGAAAATGAGCGTTTTACGATTGCACTCTTCTACCAGGATTAAAATAAAAAACCCGGAATCGCTCTAAAAATCCCGGCATTTTCCCGGTTTTCCAGGTCCCTTCAAATTCAAGGTTTTTTCCTGGTTCTCTCGGTTGGTATACACCCTGAAGTGACTCGATACTACACAAAAATGAAGTGAAATAGGAATTGGAATCAAATGGAATTTTAACCAGAATTGAGAAAGACTGGAACTGACCCATCTCTAGGTACTCAATAATAGATATCAAAGTGGTTATCTCACCTGAGATTGAATTGTATGCCACACATCACCCTCTTGTTCTCTGTTCACTATGTCCACCTTCCACAAATTCTGGGCTGGCATCGACACATTGTAGTCAATATAGCAAGTCACCTCCTAGTAAAACATTTACAAGTAATGTATTTAGGTTTGGATCTATGTGTGTGTACAAATTTAGTTTGTTAATTTTAGATTTGTTGTGTCACTGTATTTTGATTGACTATAAATAAAGATTGTGTTAATTTATTTTATCTATTACAGCTTGTAGAATCCTAATTATTTACAAAAATGGTTTAGTTTGGAAACTTAACTGCTTTTAAAGACTATTTCAGATTAAATAAAGAAAGATACAACATTTGGTGCCAGGTACAGATAGGTGAACTCCTCATGAGTTTACCTGAACTGACTGAGACAACATTCAAACCCTCAATATACGATCATGTGAAGGTTTGGTTATGTCACTCTGGATGGCTTGTGAAGCTCAAAGAGTTAAAGCACTGGCCGCCTGAGGTTCTCTACTTTAAATGAAATTTTGTTACCTGATAACACTATAAGTGGATTTAATCACATATTTTCAATTCAACTGTAGGTTTACTAATCGAGATAAAACAAACTCTAGTTAGCAATCAGATGTCTGAATGTCTGAATATTAGGTAACCTAAACCATGATTACCATGATTAAGATTTGACAAAGCTCTGACCTGATTCTGTGGGGATACGGGAGCCGCGACGTCGTGAGTGTTGAGCGCTCTACTGGTGATGCCATGGACCAGCTGTATGATGTCTCCGTGCCTAACCACATCCACAGGTTGAGACACGACCAAGTTGTCGACATTCGGCCGCTTCACTATCCACCAGTTGTTTACATCCTGTCACAAAAAAAATCATTCATCAGGTTCATTTATTTAGTCATAATTGTATTATATAATTTATATCTCCAAGTAAGGTTAAGTGTAAGAAAGGGCCACGTAACACTAACATTATATGTTGAAAAAGAATTTTCCATTTATCTCGTGCATTGGCTGTGTTCTACGAACGCCTGAACAGGTAGGAACGAATGCACGTCCCTGCCACAGCTGCATTTGTTTCCCTGGATGAAGAGTATATAGTGGTCAAGTGGTCCTTAAAAATCCTCAGATCAGTAGGGTTTCAACTCTCTAGACTGGAACATCAAGATCACGTCACACCTGAATATAACTCCCAGTAGACAAGTATTCCAGTTCAATTTAGTAAATTAAATCTCCTACACTTGTATAAGCTACCTGTTCCAGTACACAACACCCCCACAACATAGCCTAGCACAAAACAGCTGGGGCCCTATTTTTGAAATGGTTGACTGTTGAGTTGAGTGTCGAGTCATTCTATTTCCAATCGTTTCGTATTTTTGAAACGATTGACGGTCGACTTATCCAACCAAAACTACTCACCACCTACTGAGCTGTTGAGTGGACGGTTGACTGCACTTTCTTCTTCCTCTTTCGGTAAAAAATTGCTCTTTTTGAGTCGACGCCATATTGTTATTGCTTTAATTTATTAATTACGATTTAGAGGTTATATATTTGTTTTTGTTGTCAATGTATTAGCACCCAATACTTTATGTGATTGTTTTCTGTAGAATAATTGCATTTTAATTTTATTTACTGTGTAAATACTAGACTATTTAATCAAGGATTTTATCCTTGTTGGTATGTTTGAAATAGACTAGGCATACTAATTGAACTTATTATAAGATAATTATTGTTATTAGACCTATGATTTAAGGTATTAAAGATTGTGGTAGAGAGAAACAATATCATAGTTTGTTTCAATATTCACCTAATAAAGGGATCAAATTAATTTAAGTTACGATATGCTTTCAGTGCAATGGCAAATAGCCGCTTTAACCTAAATAAAAACACAATTAAAAATAACATAAAACAAACCGATGAAGGAAACTAAAATAAGTTTATGTGTTCCGAAATAAAGACGAAGAAAGCAAATAATAATGCATTTAGGATATGCCTAAACTTATTATTAGCTACACCCTAAAACAAACATCCATAGTAAATTTTATTTTTAATACTTAAGTTTTGCAATCACTAAGATTAAGCAAGACATAACCTCAATCTCTCAAGAACGGAGTTGACAGTTTACCTCTGTGTCTCGAAATATGGTAGATTGAGATTAGCTGCCAGATTTTAGAGTAAGAAGAGGTTAAATCGAAGATCGCAAGAACTCTGCATTGTGATTGGTTCAAAATGACGTAATCTGAATTTTGTGCGGTCGTAGCCCTACATTTCCAAAACGAGTCACTCAACTAGTGATTCCCAACTCGCTTCCCAACTGTTGGGTTTCAAAAGTACCAAATCCTGTTGTTGGTTGAGTTGAGTGCTGATGATAGACTCAACTGTCAACCATTTCAAAAATAGGGCCCCTGATTGGTCACACGACCTTCTGCACCAATGTGAGGGTATCTTCTCTCCAATTGAAGCAAGATGAAGCAGCCAACCTTGAAGAAGGAAGTAATTTGCTCCTTAAAAATAATATTTTAAGTTTTCACTGCAAATCTCCATGTATCATAATTTAAGTTTTAGCAAATTTCCCAATAGAGAAGTAGCTGACACGGTGGCACGGTAGGACCTGGGCCCAGGACTGATTTACTTTTTCATTTTGATGTCTCAGTATATGTGTCCGTGAACAAGTAAGATGACTCAGGTAATTTTGGTCTGATTTTGATGAAATTTGGTTTGATGGTGTAGGGCGTGATTAACTTGGATGAGTTCGCAAACTAGAGAGATTGGGTCATGGGATTGGGGTTGTATGTTTCTAATTTTTGTAACTTAATATAAAATTTCCCAATTTCTCTCTAAACAATTTTTAAGAACTTAAAAATATGTTTGTATAGTGTAGTGTTTTAGTATGGTTATTAGCTACGGAAAAAATTAAAAATTTGTAAATTAAAAATTCCCATGCTATTCTTATGGAAAATAAGTACCGTAAACAGCTGTAGTTTGCTAGCTAGTTTGTAGCTTGAGCTCATTTTGAAAAGAGTCGCTTGAGCCTATGCCTAATCTAAATCTATTTTTTTTTACATAGTGGTTGTTCCTACCTTGAATGTATAACAGGTGACCTGTTGCTGATGAGATGAGCCACGGCCGTCTGGGTAGCGAATCGGGTACACATGTGAGTGCGAGTGTAGCCAGCAGGGTCGTCCGTGTGTGTGTCTCAGTGTGACCTGCGACCCATGACCCACCTGCAATGGCTGGCCTCGTGTTATACTGGCTAGTCCTCCCTGCAACCCCACAACGGTGTAGTTGAGTTAAAATGGGTTCGGTGGATTTTGGACACGTTAGCTTTGTTTTGGGGCACAGAAAACTAAGGTACAAAGGAAACTTGCTTATGGGACGGCCATGTGCATTCAGCTCTAGTATGTTTTGCTGGAAATATATTGGTAATGAGCAAGGAAAAGCCAGAACGGCGAGCACTCATTCCTATCGCACAGAGCCAGGGGTTTCCTCCACTTGCATTACTGGATGTTCCAAAATGGCTTCTTATGGTCCATAATTTTATATGAACAAATAAATATACTAACCTCAAGATTCGCTTGGAACGCACTCGTCATGACACTGTCATGAGGCCCCGCCTTGCTGAGAACAGACAAGTGAGTGTAGAAGACAGCTAAGTACACTGCGCTGCTGACTGCCAGGACTATCCCAGCGCGTGCCACGGCATGCCACAGTGCGCCCGCGTCACTCACCGTGCGGTCTGACAGCACTCTCCAGTAGTCTCGGGTGAGTAGAGCAACGCCCAGACACCACGAGTAGAATCCGACGTACTTCACACTGCAAAATACATCTATGATCAGTACTGATAGTTACGCTGCTATACTGTATAAATTAGGGATGGGTCGGTTGTTAACGTCAGTTATCGTTTTTACCTGGTTTTCAGCAGATAAACTGAAACAAAGAGTTAACATAATAGTAGGTTTTGGTTTTGATGTGCAATAATTTTGCTGTGTTATCCCATCCATTAACGATAAGCTGAAATGTCAGTTATCTGAACATGCTCAGTCACTGATTGCTTTTGGTAATATTTTTAATAAGTGTATTTGTTAATTTAAATTAATATCCACTAGTGATGGGTCAGTTGCTGATTTCGTTGGTTTGGTTTCGGTTCAGTTTTTTAGACGATACGGTGCTTCTGATTGGGAAAAATAACTACCATGCTTGTACCGGAGACAAAAAGTAGTACTAAACTAAACTATTAAATGTTTCAACAGGATAAAAATTTTTTATAAACTCAAAACTCCTACAAGTGCAGTTTTTTTTTTAGTTTATTAAAGGTTGAATCAGTATTGGTATAAATTCAATGAGGAATTGTATTCAGTATCGTATTGAAATTGAAACGATGAATGTAGGCCTATCCTTCCGCGCATCGTGGTACTAGCTGTGTTTCCATACGTGGGATTATTATCCCGAAAACAGGATTTTTAGAGCATGAGCGGGATTTGAAGGGGATGTGGGATAACACAGGAGTTTTGGCTATGACGTCTATTTTTATTTACTATGCTTTATTTTAGTGAAAAACTAACCCCAATCGAAAAAATTACCTTAACAAAATATAATAGCAATGTTAAAACAACTATTTAAACACAATATGTCTAATTTAACACTCAGAATTTAACATCAAAAATCTTAAGGGATTAAACGGGATTTCTTAACCCAGTGACCGGGATTATATTCTTTTGGTCGTGTAGAAACACTGGGAGCTCGGTGCGTTCAATTAAAGCCAGTAATCAGAGGGTGATGATAGAATGTCTGTCGATGTTCGATGTTTTTTATATCGATGGTAGGTTCCCGATGTTTTTGTTACATCGATGTTTTCGCCAAACTTCGATGTTTTTGACCAAGTATTGAGACGTAGATGCAAAATGTAGCATATCTGTAAAAAATTTTGTCTTTCAAGAGAAATTCCAGATTTTTTCCAAAATTCCCTGACTTTTCCAGACTAACAAAATTCCCTGACATTTGCAGGTTTTCCAGGTTTTCCCTGACCGTACCAACCCTGATGAATACCAACAGACAAACCTGGAACTGAGTGGCAGGCCTGCTTGGCCATCGGTCGCTTGCTGTGGGGGATTTGTTATTGGCGTACAATTTTAACTTGTTTCTTTATTCAACATTTTTACAAAAAAGAATTACACAAAACTGTAGGTCGCAAGAAGAGTTTTTCATTAGTTTACAAATCTTTAAAGTTCTCATTAGATTTTCTTCGATATTTATATTTTGTATGATAAATCTAAGATAATATTAATGAAAAAATTAAAAATTACCTTAAATCATGATATGATGTTTTACAAATATAACCAACATTTTGACACCCCAAGACTTATAATACCGCAGACAATTACCAGAGGCACAGAGTGAGAGAAGCGAAAGCGAGAGAAAGCCACAACCAGGAGGTGATTGGTTGACACGATGGAGCTACGGAAAGACGACGGAACCTCAGCAAACTCAGCAAACCAACCACAGACAGAAGCAGCAATGGGGCCTCCATCAGGACGAAGCGAGACTGTGTCAGCAAAGCGTTGTCTGCCACAAAATCAGGTTAAATCTTACACAACCTTTTATTGATTACCAGTTATATTAACACACTGGCTATGGATGGCTAATATATGGGCTTTGCCAATTATAATTGTATGGGTCAGCTGTATATACAACTAAGCTCTACCTGTGGGAACTTGCAAGCTCTTCTTTTACTTATAAAATACTATTCAGTTTGTAATAATAGAATGTAATAAATAAAAGAATTTTCTTGACTAAGATGAAATGCAATGCTTGCAATTGCAAATAGTAATGAAATGCAATTCTTGCAATTGCAAATAGTATTGGCAAACTACATTGGTTGAATAGATAACGTTTTCTCTCCCTGTTGTCATTATCTTTTATAAAAATGCATGCGGCATTGAAGCTTTTAGAAGTTTTGTCCATGGTCGTGGACAGGCTTTACAGGTTCCAGCGTTACTTTAGTTAATGTTTTTCTTTAAATCTTTTGCCCATTGCATGTAACACACATAGGTAGGAAACTGGTATCTTGTTAGTTTTAGAAGACAAAATACTAACATAGTAAAATTTGACAACATTGACTCAACTCTTATATATAGTGTACTCAATGTTATTTTCAGTGTAGGCCTACATTTTATTTAAAAGTCTCAAGTAAATTTTATCCAATTTCATGGGGGAAATAATTAGGCCCTACTTCAGGGCTTTTAGGAAACTCGACAGAAAACTTAATTTTTTAAAACATTAAATCATTTCTTCAGCCGATGCCTGTTTTATTATTATATTTATTTTGAAACAATTTTTTGTTCAGTAGGAATAGAATAGCATACTACTGTTGAGGCCTCAAAAACAACTGACCAGCCAGCAGTAAGAACGCAGCCAGTGCCGCAGTGCCTTGCGAGCAGCCCAGCTCGAGTACGCAGCAATACGCAGCAGGAATCAGCAGTGAGCCGCAGAGAGCTGGTATCAGCCGCAGAGCAAACACTGGCACTGTAGCTGCGTACTCGCTACCAATACGCTCAAACTTGAAGTAACCTACATAACAAATCACCAAAAACGTATAAGTATAACAAGTTGATATCATGTTTTGGTTTAATGTATCACTATGCACCCGGCGATGGAATGGTATCCGAAACAACCGTAGTGCAGTTTTACCTCTGGATTGCAAAGATAGTAAGCACTATGTACATCTAATAAGTAATAACTAAAATGTTGTTGAAAAACGTTATAATACAGCTGAGATTGTCTAGATTTTAGTAATCATCTCACCATCAAAGCCTGCCAGGTTAGCTACAGCTGCAATCAACTGTTTTCCAAAAGGGGGCTGCGAGTCAAAGTAGAATGTCCTTTTCATGTAGTGGCTGATGTATTTGCCGTAGTGAAGCTCGTCAAATCTAAAACATAAGAGTAAGTTAAAAAAGAACGCTACTTGATATAACCAAGATCTTCAAATTTCAAGATTAATGCCAATTTATTTGACATTTCACTACAACATCAATACAATTCTGCTTTTGCAAAGCTAAAATATGAGTAAAGGTGAGTCTAAAATGAACGTAGTTTTGCTATTAACTAAAACAAAATAAAAATTGGTGTAAATACCTGCTTCTTGTAATCCAAATTGTTGCTGTTATGACGCAACTAGTTTCGACTTATCACAAAGTCATCTTCGGGCGTCCAGGGGATGTCAATTCACTTCATCAGAAGGTCGTCAATACACACATACGTTCATACACGAACATGGTCACGGTTACGAACAAAAACACAGACACGAACATTGAAACGAAAAAAGTACGATTTAACGAGTAAAAGCTAAAAATAGTAACACCGGTGAGGATTATGCGTCACGGCCGGATGGATGTAGCGTCTAGACTGCTACATCCATCCGGCCGTGACGCATAATCCTCACCGGTGTTACCATTTTTAGCTTTTACTTGTTAAATCGTACTTTTTTGCTGTAGTCTAGACGCTACATCCATCCGGCCGTGACGCATAATCCTCACCGGTGTTACCATTTTTAGCTTTTACTCGTTAAATCGTACTTTTTTCGTTTCAATGTTCGTGTCTGTGTTTTTGTTCGTAACCGTGACCATGTTCGTGTATGAACGTATGTGTATATTGACGACCTTCTGATGAAGTGAATTGACATCCCCTGGACGCCCGAAGATGACTTCGTGATAAGTCGAAACTAGTTGCGTCATAACAGCAACAATTTGGATTACAAGAAGCAGGTATTTACATCAATTTTTATATTCAACGTAATCCGGAGGCTAACATCAACAATAAAACAAAATGTTTCTTTAGCCAGGACTATTTATTTTAACCCAAATAATGAAGGACAGCTGCTGCCCCAGTTCCAAATTCAGCACAGTATTTTTACCAAGCAAGCCATACAGCCTGGTTTACACTGGTCGAGTAGAAGGGCAATTATCGTCAACTTGACCAGTGTAGACAATTTAAAGAGTCAAGTGGCAGGCGAGTTGAGTGCCAGACCCAGCTAGCGGATGAGTCGAGTAGTTTTGTCCAGGAAACAGCCACTCAACATATTTTGAGCACTTTCCCTACCCCCACCACCGTCAATCTGCTGTCTCAAGTCGCATATTAGCAATCTTATACGTCTTTTTAGCGAATTTCCCATACAATAAGCTATTACCGAAGGTCTCATGGTAAGACCTAGACCCGGGACCGATTTACTTTTTCGTTTTGAGGTCCCCAGAAGCCAAAAACACCATCCGTTCAAATTCATATATATATCATTTATTATTTTCAAATTTATATATATATGTGTCCGTTAGCACGATAACTCGAGCAAAAATCATCTGATTTTGATGAAATTTGGTACAAACGTGTAAACCTACGTTTATTCAAACGAGTTCGCGAACCAGCATAATTGGACTGTGGGAAAGGGGGTTTACGGGGGGTTTTATGGGGTAAAAATTGTTTTTCCAATTTTTGACCCTAAAAACACAAATTTTATAACTTCTCTCCAAACCATTTGTAGAGCTTAAAAAAAGAAATAATTTTGTATATTGAAGCGTTGTTGTAAGCCCAATGGTCACGGAGATAATTTAAAAATTATAAATTTAAAATTCCCATGTTATTCTTATAGAGAATAAATAAACTGTTGTAGTTTGCTTGTTTATGGATACATTTTAATCAAATTTGGCAATTTTGTTTATTTCATAATAGGCTATCAACATTTAAATAAAAAAACACACCTCAATATCTTCCCCATAGCAGCAAACCTAAGTGCTCACTAAAATTAATGTTATTTAAAAGGCAAATACCATAAATCTGAAAATTTTTAGGGAATATATTTGATTAGAAATCAAGCCGGGTAAATGGAAATTCGCTTAGTCTGCAGGTTTGCTGCAACGGGGGTATTGATATTTTAAAATTGATATAAATAATATTTTGACGTGAAGCAGACAGAAGAGGTAACATAAAGTTTGTTGAGTTGTATCGAGTTGTATCGTTTGCAGAATGTTTGTGGAATCTCGCAAGCCCTACTTACGAAAACCAACAAATGCGACAAACAGCAATTGACAAACTTGTAAAAGATAATGGGTAAGCTAGCGATTGGTGTACAAGATGCGAAGCGAAAAATTAAAAACATAAGGGGTACCGTACATACAACCAAGAACTAATAAAAATTTTTTAAATCTGCCAAATTCCCTATTTTATCCTTCTTGCACCGATTCATCAACCTCTTCTACTAACAAATCGTATAGGTACCTACTTTTTTCAAGCATTTTCAAAATGTAACACGTATATGGGGGATTTGACGTATAATTAACACAACTCTACATGTAACTTAATCATCAAAATTTATCTAGTCAACTCGGCCGAATTAACTTTAGGCCTACCAATGTAAACCCACTTTTCTAAAACCTGACAAGTAAGCTCTGCCAAGCAACTGGGCCGAGCCAAATCGGCCTAGCTTACTCGACCAATGTAAAGCAGGCTTACAGGACTGGTTTCCCATGAGTTTCTGCTCCCTGCCTGATAAGGATCTGAACAATAACCAGGATCCGCTGTGTTCCATCTTAAAAACATTTCTCAAATTGTTTCAAGATACACAATGAGGAGTCCTAAAGTGATTAAGTACCGGTAATATCATTTTATAAATTTAAGTGCCTATTATTTGTCATGAACTGGATGCTTCCTTGGTGATGTAAATTACAACAGTTCGTTACAGTTAATTGTTACAAGTTCTTGCGTAAAAAGTACAACAATATGCCTACTTACTTTTAATAACACTGTACCTCTCCATTCAGTAAGAAAACAAAATATTCTACGTACACAATATTTCTAGGTTGTTCAAGTTTGTAGAATCTTGTCGCAACAGCAGCAATGAACAGAGTGGATGCAATCACATCCAATTCGATATTTATCTGAAATCGTTGCTGCTTTGATTGTGATGCTCTAACTTTTTCAGAAGGATTGATTTGTTCATCACTTTTGATGGCAGGAACCTGAAACACATTCTCATCAAAATAATGTAGGCCTATATGATTAAACATTGTAAGAATTGATGTAAAGGCCTACAAATGCCAACTTTGATGATACGACAACTAAATAGTTTTTATTGTAGGCCAAGGTATCTTCAATTGTGTAATGTTTATTAGTGATTCCTTTACAATAAAGTAATTGTAAATTATGGTTAAGCTTAACTTACTTGAAATGTAAATCCTTCTTTATTGAGGTAAACTTAGGACCTCACGGTCCTTTCTTACAGTTAACGTTAACCTCTAAAAAACTAATAATAATAATAAAACATTAACAAAATAAAACAACAAAGATTACAATAAACAAACTTACTTTGAAAGATTATTTAGGTTAAAATGGTAAGTTTTCTGTTCATGCCTTATAAACTTAATTAAATCTTGTACTTAGGCCTACTCCAGAATGGACTAACTTTCCGTATGCATGTTTTAATGTTAAGATATCATCATCGTCTCATAAAAACTTGACTTAGAACAACCCTAACTTAGAATGATGTATCAAAACTAATAAAAAACACCAAATTCAGAGATAAACACGGAGGAATAAAACTGTATGTGTTTGTGTTTTGTTCATTATAGCAATGAATGACCTTTGCTTTTCTGTTTCAAACGATGTACTGCTCTATGCTGATGACACAAACTTGTTTGAAAAGCACGTTGATCCTGTAATTGCCAGTAACTCCACAAAAAGATTGTTTAACATAGCTTCTGAATGGTTTTCAGGGAACAAACTGGCTCTCAATGACAAGAAAACCCAAGAAATATTGTTTAGCTTTTAAAAGTAAAACTAATTCTGTTTGTGACTCTGTCAAACTCTTAGGCTTTACTTTGGACTCTGAGCTTGTGTGTGATGAACATGTCAACGCCCTATGTACTAAACTTAATTGAGTAATTTGTCTTTTGAGGAAATTAACATCTGAATTGCCTCCTGACTTTGTGAGAATAGCTTTTTTCTCTTTTTTTCAGTCACTCATTGTGTATGGAACCAGGCTTTGGGGTCACTCCCCACAGGTTCAGAAGGTCCTCGTGCTACAAAAAAAAGCAATTTGTGTGCCTCACGCAATTTGCCTTTTAGAACACATTGTAGAACATTGTTTGTTGATATGCAAATCATGACTGTCATCAATGTATATATTTACCAGTGTTTGGAAGCTATCAAATCGATGGAAAATGATCTTATTTTCAATAGAGACATCCATCCGTATAGCACTAGAACTTGTAATGATGTACATACTCCTAGCAATAGACTAAGTAAAAGTCAAAAGTGTTTCCCTGTTTCAGGTTTCAAATTTTTCAATGCTCTGCCTGTTAGCATTAGAAACTTGCCAAAATTGAAGTTTATAAAAGAATTGGCTACTAACAAATCCATTCTATAAATGTGACGATTAAGTTATTTTGAGGCTTTAAAAGTTTGAAAAATCATGTAGTGCATGGACCCAATGATAAAAATGTATGCCTAATTTTTATTTACCTTTGCATGGTTTGCTGTTTAGACTTGCAGTTTTGTTTGGTTTGTTTTCCTTTTTAGCCTAAGTTGAAAGCCCCGTTCACACGGGGCGAGTTTACAAGCTACTCGCCGGCTTTTTTACACGCAGCTAGTAAAATAGCTCAGTGTGAACGACGTACTCGCTCAAAAGCTGCTTGTAAAAAAGCTCTGGAAAAAGTTGACGATGCCGCTACTTTACACGCCAACTCGCCAGCTTTTGAGCGAGTAAGCATGTAAAGTAGCCCAGTGTGAACACAGTTGCTTGTGCTTGTGCGCGTGTTATTCAAAGATGTCGGAGGATTTGGTTCAAGCTAGCTACTGAGCGAGTGGAAAAGCATCGTGTGAACGACTACAAGCGCACTCGCTGACTCACCGGCGTCTTTCTACACGTCAGCGAGTTGGCGAGTGGACAAGCTCCGTGTGAACAAATACAAGCACACTCGCCAACTCGCCGGATTCTTACACGCTGGCGAGTAGCTTGTAAACTCGCACCGTGTGAACGAGGCTATAGCCTATCTAGTTTTATTGAATTTGTATTGTACTTTGACGCAGCCTAGGCTATTGTAAAAACTTAATGGCCTAATAAAGTCTTTGAATCGGGTACAGTTTCTTAACTGGGCTATGCTAATATCGATTGAAACTATCGATTCGATTAGTAAACCTTCGTGCGATTTTTCACCATCAGGAAGTTTGGTTGGTTAGGTTAGGTTATGATAGTTTAATTTGATTATAAATACCGTATATTTTAAAATATCGATTATTAATCAATATTTTCAATTTGATAGTTCCTATCGATATTAGCATTGCCCAGTTAAGAAACTGTACCCTTTGAATCTTTGTTGGTTGGCCTACTTGGACAAATATTGAAACAATATTATTTAATCATTTGTAAAGCTCTTCAAGTGTTTGCAGACCTAAATAAATCCATGTTATTGAATAATATTAATCATGTTTATAACTAGGGCCTAGGCTAGTTATCCTATAGAAAAGGATGATAGACCTAAGTTACTTTCCCAGAATTTTAGCAATTTCAAGACAAAATAAAATTAGAAAATAGGACATAAATTATACCTTTTTGTATTTAGTATTTTCATCTTTCTCATCGATACTGGCCAATGTAACTTGCTTGTTATTTGTGTTGGTAATACTCAGTTCCCCAATGTTAGTATCGTTTGAGGTTAAGTTATGATTCTGTTTAAGTTTTTTCTTTCCATTTTTCACAGAAGTATTATGACCTGACTTCACTTTTGTATCGATATCCATATTAATATAATCACAAGCAATTCATTCCAAAATTAAAACTAAAATTTAGAAGTTGTAAAAAAGGTCAACGACACTTCCTAGTTCTTAATCCTAACGGTAAACAAAAACAAACGCAGTAAACTAATTAACTAAACAAACGGTGAATGGTGAATGAAGAATAGAATACACTAGACAATACAGTGTCAGGAGTGAGTAGAAATAGTAGAGTGGACTCTCAGTAAGGTCGATTCATACATATCAGTCCAGTCACAGCTCCGTTTCAGTCCAGTCACAGTTGCATCACGGTCGCCTTTAACGTCGCAAGGGTGTTGTACAGCTGTTTTGTTTGGAAGAAGCTAATTGGTATTTGTGTATTTACGAAAGATTGGTTACTGGACTAAGACAATATTGACTCCGCTTAATGTACAGATATAGATTTTTAATTAATATTGTTTTGGTTTTCAAGTCTGTATGTTGTATTTTTAATATTTTAATAAATTTATGTTCATAAATTTAAATCAATAAAGTGCGAATTAATGAGCTGATGTCACCTGTCTGCCGTGTTATCTCATGGGACGTCTGTCACTAAACAACACCACTTGCAACGTTGCCAATTCTACCAGGCCACGGGCTGTAGTTAAAGGTGGCCGTGGTTGCATCCGAAATTTCTGAGTAAAACCATTGACTATATAACACCTTTTTTCCTTTTTTTAGGGAGAGGAGGGAAAATGCTTTTACGCACACAGGTAGCCAACCTGTAGTGTGAGACTCCTGAATTTATCACATACTGCTCACTAAAAAATCCCCTGTACTCTGTTGGACACAGACCTGGAATTGTTTTTCACATTACTTCAAGTCAGGCCAACATGTGACCTAAGCCCTCAGGGCTCTCGCCGTTACTGGCTTTCAGATTCTTTATTACCTACACCGCATCCCGATCAATGTCAAGCTTCTTGGCGTGAAGAATACCCTGGATGTAATGTGACACACAGGTCCAATTGTTCTAACCCTTCGTCATCATCGGTATGTCGCATTTAATTTTCACCCCAGGCTGTAAATAAAACATAAATAAGTTATTGGAATTTCTTACATTTGTTTTGATTTTCTGGTTATATTTCGTTGTTATTATGTCACCAGCATGGCAACCCATAAGGCTCATGTTGATTTTATTAAAAATTTTTAATTAATTTTTTGAGCTTATTTTTCAGTCTATTAGCGAATATCCCATATAGGGAATAAGCTATTACCGTAAGTCTCAAGGTAAGACATGGACCCGGGACCGATAAACTTTTTCGTTTTGAGGTCCCCAGAGGCAAAAAACGCCATCCGTTCAAATTCACACACATATATATACCGGGTGTCCAAAAACACCCGTACACCCCTTTCAAAACGTTGGAAACATTTTCTTGGAAACATTTTCTTACAAACAAAAAGTAATACAGAAATAGCAAAATTGGGTACGGTCTACCAAATGGTGATAATTTCCAATCCGAAATCACACCGGAAGTCGCTTTTTCAGACCGGAAGTTGACTTTTTTTAAATATAAGCTACCAATTTTGATTACAGAATCGGATTCTACGTTGAAAAATACATAACTAATTACAAAACATTTTTTTTTAACTAGTTTTCTACCTCTAATCCCCTATTAAAGTCAATAATTTTGGGTCATTCATCTGTCACAGTTACTCGAAACAATAATAGAGAAAAACAAATAACAAAGATTACATAAAGACATGTGATGAATAGAATCAGCTGTTTATTGTAATTGAGTAACAGCTGGTCAACATATTGCTTAATTTAATTTTTGTTTAATTCATTTGTTTTTTTTACATTTGACCATTTAATGCAAAAACAAATTATTTTTTTATAAAATGTGATATCAAGCAATGTGTAGACAGCTGATTCTATTAATCATATGTCTTTATGTAATCTTTGTTATTTGTTTTTCTCTATTATTGATCCGACGATGGACAGCCGTTTTTCAACGATGGTCCATCGTTGAGTTTACAAGACTTTCATTTTCTGGATCTAGCTTTCACAACATAATTATAATAATGCAAATAATTTTTAAATTAATATTCTTTAACTTATTTGCAACAATTTAAGGGGAAAGATTAATTATCGTATAACAGTCAATTATAATAACATTAATAATCTAACGGTAATAAAATAATCTATATTCAAATATCAGTATCCTCTCTAACTAAAAAATGCCTAAACAGATTAACAGAATCATATTATATACCGTACTGTAGTATCAAAATTGTTTTAAGTTTTGCGACCATTGCAACTGTCGGCTAGGTACTCTTTCACCACTTGAAAACTCTCTACATCAACAATCACAGATACCTCAGTGGTAAGGTCATAAGTCGAAGGACCCGGGTTCAAGACCCGTCTGGCCAAAAAATTTTGTTCTAGGTTTTTTCAAAATTTGTTTTTATGAGCTATTTAATCAATTTACTCAACTAATAATTATGATTTTCATACTAAATCTTGATTATTTTGTGTAAAATAAAACGGTTGGTTGGATATCAGTTGTGTTATAATTAGTTGGCCATCAGTATTTTTGGATGGTTGGGCCATTGTTGGACAATGGTTGGTTGGAAACAGTTTAAAGAGGTGACATTTCTACCGTTGGCCAACTAAGTGGCTCCACTACCAACGTTGGCCCAACCATCTGTGCTACATGGGTGGGCGGGGGTATTTTTATTTATCAAGGGATTCTGCACAACCACAGGCAAATCTCTTTCTAACAGTATGCGTAGAATTTCTCTGCGATGCACACGAGCTGAGAAACAAGGATTTAAAGAAACATGCTTGGATAATGTATAGATAAACTATAGGTCGGCCGCTTAGAAAACGACCTGCGCGCTAATGCTAAACCAATGCTGGAGGAGGTCGTTTTCTAAGCGGCCGACCTATAGCTGTTGTACCCGTGCTTTGCAGCGGGAAGAGACACTTTTAAAAACCTCATTTCCGAACAATATTCTATTTCAATGAACCAAACCACAAGGATATTTGTCCATAGTTAATTTATTATTGCAATTCTACTATATTTCGCAGCTTTTTGTTGCGAGTAGGATCAAATTAGATGTTGTCATAAATGCAAAAAAAATTAATAGTACTGCACCCTGTTGGTAAACCTTATAATTAATGCTATTTATTAATATCATAGACCCAACTTGTGTAGTTGAAACAGCTGACAAAATTATTTTATTCCTTTTAGATATGATTAATCATGAGGTTAACATGGGAACCTCCAGAGCCACTGGGGCAGAGTCCGAAAGGACTTATGAGATACGAATCCGTATATATGTTAATCGGGAATGTAAGCTATCATCACACCAAATTTCAGCCCCATCCGACAGGTATTTTTCGCGTTTACTTGTCACAAACATACATACATACATCCAAACTCTCTCGTTTATAATATCACTAGCTGTAACCCGCGGGCTTTGCCCCGTTTAACTTCTTAATTTTCAAGATTATATCGTTCGCATCGCATGGCTCAATCACGTCCTGGTTGAAGTTTGTTCGCTACGCTCACTCACCTTTAGGTTGGAGCTCGTTCGCTACGCCACTGACCTTTAGGTTGGAGCTCGTTCGCTGCGCTCACTTGCCTTCAGGTTAGCTCGTTCGCTACGCTCACTCACCTTTTGGTTGCAAATTAGCTGTTGTCATAAATGTAAAAGAAATAATAGTGCTGCACCCTGTTGGTAATCCTTGTAACTTTAATGCTATTGAACATCATAGAACAGAACCAACTTGTTTAATTGAAACAGCTGTTAAGATTCAAATAATTCCATTTCTCATAAGGTTAACATGGGAAACTCCAGAGCCACTGGTGCGGGGCCCGAAAGGATTTTTGAAATAAGAATATGCCCATATGTTAATCGGGAATGTGAGCTATCATCATGCCAAATTTCAGCCCAATCCGACCAGTATTTTTCGTGTTCACTTGTCACAAACATACATCCATACATCCATACATCCATACATCCAAACTTTCTCATTTATAATATTAGTAGGATACTAGGATAATTTGTGAAATTTTGCGAATGTTTGATAGTTTACTGTTTTCCGTATATTGTTTAGATGCATTGGTAGGACATTATGGCAATGGTGGGCATATGTGTTATACTATAGCATACCGTAAATTTAAAGAACAAACAAATTCTCAAACCGTGCTTGTACTCTCCCATTGCAAACGTAAAGCACGAGCATAACTGCAATAATCCATTTTACACTAGCGCCAATCCCGTGCGAAGAACGGGTACTCTGCTAGTTTTGGTTATAAATAACATTGGTAATTATATAGTTGACTAGCTGTAACCCGCGGGCTTTGCCCCGTTTAACTTCTTAATTTTCAAGATTACCTCGTTCGCATGGCTCAATCACGTCCTGGTTGAAGTTTGTTCGCTACGCTCACTCACCTTTAGGTTGGAGCTCGTTCGCTACGCTCACTCACCTTTAGGTTGGAGCTCGTTCGCTGCGCTCACTTGCCTTCAGGTTAGCTCGTTCGCTACGCTAACTCGCCTCCAGGTTGAAGTTCGTTCGCTACGCTCACTCACCTTTTGGTTGCAAATTTTAGCTGTTGTCATAAATGTAAAAGAAATAATAGTGCTGCACCCTGTTGGTAATCCTTGTAACTTTAATGCTATTGAACATCATAGAACAGAACCAACTTGTTTAATTGAAACAGCTGTTAAGATTCAATAATTCCATTTCTCATAAGGTTAACATGGGAAACTCCAGAGCCACTGGGGCGGAGCCCGAAAGGATTTTTGAAATAAGAATATGCCTATATGTTAATCGGGAATGTGAGCTATCATCATGCCAAATTTCAGCCCAATCCGACCAGTATTTTTCGAGTTTACTTTTCCCATACACACATACACACATGCAGCAACCACCTCTTTTTTATAATAGTATAGATAGATATTACTGATATTATAACTTTAATGTAAATATACGTACGTTAGAATAATAGAACTTAAAAAAGTATTTGTTATTCTTTAGATAATGTTTTGGGCACCACACTGAAAGACTAGTGTCATATCAGTCAATTTTGGATTCGCCAAATAATACTTTTACTGAAGACTGGTTTTTAATTTGAATTTACTTTCAAATAAGGCAGACATACAATGAAAACTTAATACATACAAAGGTTATTTATTTTGAGGACGCATACGTGTAATCAATTTCGTGACAAAGCCATGATCTCTAAAACGGTTTTCAAAGATTCTTGTAGCTCACTATTTTCTCTGGAAAGTTCATACAATGTTGATTCCAATTTTTGTTTTACTAGATTAGCATGAGCTAATCGTCTCATGAAGCTATTAAGTATGCTGCAATCTTGTTCTTTTACTTCTTCTAGTGCTTCTTTTGAAACCCCAAAAGGCAGCACCTTCTCCTCCTGAGTTTCCAATCTTGTACATAAATTTCCTAATCGCACTAATTTTTCTCCTTTCTCTAAAATATGTTCTAGATTTTTGATGACATCATTACTCTCCTCAGTAAGTATTAACAGCTGGCTCTCGTCTAATGAAGCATCTGTAATCAGACTTTTTCGAGCCTCAATATACTCAGCATACGTTTCCTCCTTATCTTTTTTTAGGTCTTTAAGTGAGGTTTTGGATGCTTGTTTTTCACTTAGTTGAATTTGCAAAGTACTCATTTCATCTAAAAGTTTCGCCATCCTACTGTTCTGCTGAGTAATCATGCTGTTATAAAATTGATCTTTAATCTTTAAAGTTTCTAGTTCTTTTCTACGTGTATCCGTTGCAGTCTTGTACTCCTCTAGTGTGTCTGATATATTTCCAATCACTGTTTGAAGATTCTTTTCTAATCCACCACTCATTTCTTCGACACACTGGATCCCTCTTTTACTTTCTTCGTCTCTTTTAGTTAAATACTCACCTTGAGCTATGGCCATAGCCTCATTAAACCGTTCCTCCATCATAAATAGTATAGTTTTGTAGTAGTCCTCAAGTTCCTCTTGAGTTTGATTATTGAACTCGAGGTTTTCTCGTACACCATCCAGACAAAGCTTTACATCCAGATCAAACTCTTGTTTTAACTTTATAATTTTCTGATGAAAATCTCCTAGCAATTTGTCCATCTTCAAGCTATAATCCTGCCAAGACATTGCCTCTTGTGTTTTTGATTCATCAATGTTGTCTGCTAGCACATTAATTATAAAGTCCTTAAGATCCATTGCATGCTCAAAAGTACTCCATGCTTCTTCCATATCTTCCTTTATCTGAGGAAAGCGTTTTGTAAAATGTTTTGTGTACCATTCCTTCAAGTATTTTGACAAGTTCTTCTGACTGTAACTAGTCTCGCGAGATAATTCACCCTTCCTAGTTTTTATTCTAATCTCTTCAGCTTCCTTAAGTTTAGTTGCTTTTTTCTGAGCTTTACGCTGTTTCTTTTCTTCTGCTGTTAAAGGCATAATAAACAATGCCTAAATTTATATAAAAAAGCTAAGTATTTAAAACTGAAAGTTTCACAAATTTGTTAAAACCCCGATTTTACTGTTGTAATGATAAATTACTTGTTTAACTATAACATGTTATGTAAACAATAGGAAAATACAATAATAACATTAAAATAAATAGTATTCTATTTTCAATCATATGATAAATTAAGTACATACACACTATGATGATACTGATACTGTGTGTGCTAAAACAAACTCTTAATTCGTTATAGGAAGAGTTGCATTATCATAGACATTTCTACTACGTATTCGATTTCGCAAGGATCTTTACAGTCTGTAACAGATAATAACCATGAATACTAGAAAAGACTTTGTAAATTTAGGTTATTGCCCTGGAGAAAGGATAAACTGCATATTGCACTCGAGAAACACGTTGTGCGGCCCTTTAAGGGCACCACCTAACATTCCACTGATACTAATACCCTCAGCTAGACTCTTAAATGAATATGAGGAGCAGTGGAAGAAGTCGACCCTAGAATCCACATGGCTGCCACTTCTAAGAGAAGCCTGGAGATACCACTGTTGAGGGTATAGCTTGTTGGTCTATAGCATCTTTTGTAAGATGCTACATATGCCCGTCTTATTGCCGGGCTCTGCTTTGACTATGACATTCGGGCATTGTTCTAGGAAGAGTCGACAAAATTACTGGCCTTGGGATTCATAATGGAATCCTCTCTTGGCCCTCGTGCACACATCGATCACATAACTTCCAAGGCCAGCTCATTGCTGGGAATCTTTTTGTATGGGTCTGCTTTTAGTATTCAGAACGGCCAAAGACCTTAAGTCACCACCATAGACTAACCAACCACAGGTAAGGGAGTATGTTTTATCAATGCTCACCATGTGTACCCAATCGTTGAGAATGACAATGTATTGTAATTAATCTGGGCACCATGGTACAATTACTGGGTTGAATTTTGATACACACTGACTATTTGGGTCAAGCTATGGAATCGTTTTTGATCCAGGTCGGACCATATTGCTTTGTCCCAGTGTTCTTTTAAGTCAAAAGGGAAAAGTCACCCTTAAAGTAAAGCCATTAAATTGAAATGTCCATGTCTTCAGCTCCTGAGCAAAAATATGTAAGACTACATTACTTTACTACGTAACACCTGTCATCAACATAATATATATTTTTGTGAGATGGAGCAGTTAAAGAGTTGGATCAGTTTGTGTTTGCATTGGAAGAAGGTTGTGGTTTCAGTAACTTACTTCAGATTATAGTTTACCTGGTGTATTACTTCACAATCAGGTCCTGAAAGATCAGTAGAGGTTCCTTCTTTTACTCCCAAGGAGGTCTTGTTGATTTCCGTTGTTTCCAGGTCATGAATGTCTTAATCACTGAAACACATGTCTAAATATTGATTAAGTTATTTTAGATAGTAATAGTGTTAATTGATTCAATATGATCCTGTTGATGAACTGGCGGGCAATGTAACTTAGTCTAACCTTTTGCCTAACCTAGAATTTTTACTAGGCTATTGACATAATTAGACTGACCAAGCTATCATCTTTTTCGTAAAGTCATTGCGCAGTGAATAGATGATGACAGTTGACAAATTTGTGTTTAAATAAAAAGAACTTAACTGATGTTTACACACCTGTATATTATCATTTCCTATAGGCCTACATGATAATATATACGATTGCTGATAACTTGTAAAATATATTGCCAGGAAAATTTACTAGACACAGTAGAAGCACTAATTACATCGTCCATTAAACTCTGACTGATGTAATCTATACAGGGTGATTGATATAAGTGTGCCAGCCGGTTTATTCGAAAACTATAAGAGATATCAAAAAAAGTTAAATGGTAAGTGCCTTGGATTTTTTATTTATAAAATTATAGTTAAGTCCAAAAAATTATTTTAGCCGCCATTTTTCCAATATGGCCGCCAACTTTGATTTTTCTTATGGAACACCCTGTATTTTATGATGTATTCTGGTAGAAAAAGAAATTTTAAGACGATTTTATTCTTGTCATTTTTTTCATAACCCTAACCGTTTCAAAGATAATAATGGTTTAAGTTGTGAAATTTTCAATGGTTTTCGAACAAAACAGCTGGCATGCTTGCTTAGGCCTTTATCGAAACTTTTTCTCATGCAGAAATTTCAAAACTTTAACCATTATTATCTTTGAAACGGTTAGGTTTATGAAAAAAATGACAAGAATAAAATCGTCTTAAAATTACTTTTTCTACCAGAATACATCATAAAATACAGGGTGTTCCGTAAGAAAAATCAATGTTGGCGGCCATATTGGAAAAATGGCGGCTAAAATAATTTTTTTTACTTGACAACAATTTTTTAAATAAAAAATCCAAGGCACTTACCATTTAACTTTTTTTTATATCTCTTATAGTTTTCGAATAAAACGGCTGGCACACTTATATCAATCACCCTGTATACAGGGTGAGTTTCTACTGACCGTGTTAACTTCGCCAGTGGGTTCTACTCACTAAAAGGAACAAAAAAGTTCCTATAAACCCATGTCCGATTTTCGACCGTTTGGCTGTTTTGGGGGATTTTGTGTTTTTCTTATTTTATTAGACTTTGCTCCACAATTTATGTAATAAAAACTTAACCAATTACTTTAGAGAGTTATAGATAAAATCATTGGAAAGAACATTAAATTTGCTATAAATCAAAGGTTTCATTCAACAATTATACCATTACATAGTCCACGTTATAACCAAAATAAAGTAAAAATGTCATTAAATTAATTTATTACGATAATTTTCATGGGCCTCCTTTGATACATAAATCTGCATTTATGCAATGTTGAAATGCATAAAAAACTTGGCATTTTAATAATCTTTCAAATGATATGCTATTCAATACTATTATTGATATAAACCAGTGAGAAATTACTAATAAACTGCAATAAAACACGGTTTACAGATTTTTTTTGCACAGTTTTACTGTTAATAATAATTACTGTGTACTCCATGATGTATTTTATTGAACTATCTGATAAAAGTTGTACATTATTTTAACTTTTAAATATTTATTAAAATTATCTGAATTAATAAAATGTATAAACTCAAGGTTTTTCACATTTTCAAAGATGTAGTGTGTTTGATTCTTAAATGCTGTGTAATTAGTTTTACCTTGTGCTTGATTAAGTCAGCTTTTATTGATTTGTCATCTATAGCTAGATAACTCAGCTGCTTGAACATACCTTATTGAGTAATTTGCTGTTTTAACTTTATATTTCCAAGTCAATTAAGAGTTTTTCAACATTTATTAAAATATGGAGCCTTTTACCAATCAAGATTATGCCAACATGATGAATACAGTAATTATTATTAACAGTAAAACTGTGCAAAAACAAAATCTGTAAACCGTGTTTTATTGTAGTTTATTAGTAATTTCTCACTGGTTTATATCAATAATAGTATTGAATAGCATATCATTTGAAAGATTATTAAAATGCTAAGTTTTTTATGCATTTCAACATTGCATAAATGCAGGTTTATGTATCAAAGGAGGTCCATGAAAATTATCGTAATAAATTAATTTAATGACATTTTTACTTTATTTTGGTTATAACGTGGACTATGTAATGGTATAATTGTTGAATGAAACCTTTGATTTATAGCAAATTTAATGTTCTTTCCAATGATTTTATCTATAACTCTCTAAAGTAATTGGTTAAGTTTTTATTACATAAATTGTGGAGCAAAGTCTAATAAAATAAGAAAAACACAAAATCCCCCAAAACAGCCAAACGGACGAAAATCGGACATGGGTTTATAGGAACTTTTTTGTTCCTTTTAGTGAGTAGAACCCACTGGCGAAGTTAACACGGTCAGTAGAAACTCACCCTGTATATAAAATCCAATGTATGTTTGTATGTTTGTCCTTTATGGACTCCAAAACCGCTCGACAGTTTGTAATGAAACTTTCAGGCATTATTAAGCATTATTCAAGGATGGTTTGTGTGAAGTTTGGTGCAGATCCGTCAATAGGGCTCCGCCCCAGTGGCTCTGGAGTTTCCCATGTTAACCTTATGAGTACTCATATTTAAATGGAATTAAAGAATCTTAACAGCTGGTGCAACTAAACAATTTGATTCTGTGATGTTCAATAGCATTAAAAAGTTAATAGGTTTACCAACAGGGTGCAGCACTATATTTATTTTTAATTTATGAGAACAGTTAATTTGCAACCAAAAGGTGAGTGAGCGTAGCGAACGAACTTCAACCTGGAGGCGAGTTAGCGTAGCGAACGAGCTAACCTGAAGGCAAGTGAGCGCAGCGAACGAGCTCCAACCTAAAGGTGAGTGAGCGAAGCGAACAAACTTCAACCAGGACGTGATTGAGCCATGCGAACGAGCTCATCTTGAAAATGAACGAGCATGTGACATAAAACCACAATAGGACAGGACGACGTCTGTCGGGCCAGCTAGTTTTATTATGTAATTAACTGACGATAGATTTTTTAGTTAGAATTGTATGTATTTTTTAGCAAAAAAAGTATGAAGATTGAAACAATTAAAGAAGAATAGCTACAATTCAGAAACATTTTAGGCATAAAATCGTCACATACGCTGTAGATACAGCGTAGTGTTCCCTAGTGTTTACTTAAACACTTTACTAGGTGCTGGACTAGTCCAGTGCATCGACAAGCCGACCAGAGTGACACACAACACATCTACTTGTATTGACCACATTTTTGTCCGTTTTCATGATATGAGACGAGTCAAATCTGCTGTCATACAATCTCACATCACTGACCATTACAGCACTGCTCTTACAATCACTAACACCATTCAGACGCCTACAGGAACTGGAACTGACACTCTGCCACAGAACCAATTTCGCACCTACATTGATCACGCTTCACTAACTGAACATATTACAAAAACTGACTGGAGTCCTATCATGAGTAATCACGAGGTTAATCAGTGCACAGCATGTTTTTGTTCGACATTGAGTAACTGTATCGGAGCCTCAACAAAAACAATTAAAAATCACTCAACAAGATTTAAAAAAATAAAGCCTTGGATTACCGTAGACCTCATTAAATTAATTCGAATACGAGACAAGTTAAGTAAAAAGATCAAAACCCAACCTTTTAATATATTACTTCTAGATAGATTCAGGGCCCTGCGCCTATCTTTAAATCAAAACATCAAACTCGCAAAGAAAAATTATTATAGGGGTAAAATTTCAGAATCGAACAGGGATCCAAAATTATTTTGGGGCATAGTTAGTGAAATATCGGGCAGGAATTGCTCTAAGGACCATTTTCCATTTGAAAAAGTTTTACCTGGTTCTTCGAATAATGCGAACATGAAGACTAAAATAGCTAACGATTTTAATAAGTTCTTTACATCAGTAGGTTCTAAATTGGCCAACTCAATCAATTCAGCTGGGGCTCCAGTCGTAAACGACGCTGACTTCTCACTCGACACGAATTTCACATTCAACACGGTCACACACGCTGACATAGAACGTTACGTCCAGGGTCTGCGCGGAGGGTCTGCACCTGGCCATGATGGTATCTCGGCCTTTGTTCTTAAAGAAAACATCCACTCTCTATGTGCTCCTCTTCTGCACATTGTCAATGTTAGCCTGACATCTGGTATATTCCCAAACGAGCTGAAATTGGCCAAGATCATTCCATTGCACAAATCCAATGATTTCACAGACATGAATAACTATCGTCCGATTTCTTTGTTGAGTGTAATCGCTAAGCTATTAGAGAAAATATCTAAAGACCAACTTGTTTTTTACCTCCACCAGTGCAATATTTTAAGTGAAAATCAGTATGGTTTCAGGAGTGACAAAAACATATCTGATGCTTTATTCGATATTAATAAATGCATTAACGAGGCAATTTATGGCAACAAACGAAGTATGTTAATATTTTTAGACTTGAAAAAAGCTTTTGACTCAGTGGACAGAAGTCGATTGTTGCGTAAACTTGAGCTTGTAGGGGTGCGCGGCACCTCGCTCGCTTGGTTCAGCAGCTACCTCTCTGATAGGCTACAAACTGTCGCACTTGGTGAAGTGTCAAGCGATGTTTTGCCAGTGGAGTATGGTGTGGTCCAGGGCTCGACCCTTGGTCCTGTTTTGTTCCTCCTTTATATTAATAATATTTCTAAAATTCAAACAGAAGGAAAATTAACATTATTTGCTGATGATACTCTAATATTTGTAACCGGATCATCCTGGGAGGAGGTTAAAAACAAGGCAGAATCAGAACTCTGTTTGCTAAAAAAAATGGCTTGACCAAAATGTATTGTCTCTTAATATATCTAAAACCAAATTCATGCCAATTTCATTACGCAAGATAACCGAATACAAACTTGAAAACCTATCTATTCATGTCTGTGGAAATCATTCCAATAACTCTTGTTTTTGTAGCAAAATTGAAAAAGTTGATTCATACAAATATCTTGGTATTGTTTTTGATTCAAAGATGAAATGGTCGGAACATGTTGAATATCTAAAAAATAAATTACGTAAATATATTTATGCGTTTAGGCAACTTAGTGATATACTCGAAGAGCAAGAAATTAAAATAGCATACTATGCATATGTTCAATCATTGTTATCTTTTGGAATTATTGCTTTTGGTGGTGCTTACAAAACTATCTTGCAACCTGTTTTTGTTGTACAGAAAACAATACTTAAAGTTGCTTTTAAAAAACACTTTAGATATTCAACTGACGACATTTTTGTAGAAACGGGAGTTTTGACAGTCAGACAGTTATTTTTAAAATTTATTTTAGTTCACATGTACAAAAACTTTGATAATATTTTTATAAAAATTACTCATCCCCACAATACGCGCTTTTCTCGAAATGTTGGTGTAAAATGTTCCACAAACTTTAAAATTCATTTTCACATACGAATTGCTTTCACTTAACCCAAATCATTTATCGTAACATGTGTAACAGATATCAAAATGTCAACATTCTAAATTCACCCTCTCTCTCTCTATTTAAGAAGCATGTAGTAGCGTGGCTTGTAGGATTGAGTGCAGAGGACACCAAGGCCGTTATCGCGTTGGGCGGACCTGACCGTTGACCCTACACAATCACTGATACACCACCTTCACTGACTGACCAACACACCACACTCCACCTCTCCTCTTCAATCTTCACCAGATTTTTATAAATTTTCGCTGTTTTGTACAAAGAGTTTTTTATCGTCAATTTAATTCACAGAAGAACACCAAACATCCAGTTTCAAGCAAGAAAATTTTTTAAATTTAGAATTATACGAATTATTTTTTGTTTTCCTATACATTTTTTTACCTCCCATCTAAATTACCTTTTTCGCAACTCGAGTCTACGCACAGGCCCTGCCTATGTAGACTTTTTCCTTTGTTATAGAAGGTATTTTTTTGCACATTTTTCTTTTTATTTCTACAGAATATAATTTTTCTTTTTTAATCTAGTTAGTAATGTTTGCTGTATTATATTTAAGTAAAAAAAATACAATGTAATTATATGTATATAATTTATGGGAAATAAAATATTATTTCATTATTTCATTATTATTATTATTATTACAGACGTTGCATTTCTGTCAAGCAAGTTGGTATGTATGGACTCTGGGATGTAGAGTAGAGGAAATCAAATGCAGTAGCCATTCCAGGACTAATAATTAGTTATGAAAATTTGAAAAACTACTGATATTAAAACCAATACAATTAATTGACGTGCAAATTTTTGCCAAACAAAGTTCTTCCCTAGTGTTCCTTACTTACAAAGGCTGTGCTTATTATTTATAGTTTTTGTTCCTATGACTATTACTGGTAGTACGTCCCTTAGGGAAGCATAGAGGAGAATGACTACTAAATATACATACCCCAAATAGCACAGTTTATGTATCTAAAACGTATCGGACATTGCACTGCAACATAGGACATGTAACGGATGCTATTTGTTACCTATCAGATAGATACCTGATACGTATTCGGAACGTGCAAATGTCCGCGCTGAGGATATGTATCTTTGGATACTTTGGATATGTATCCGCAATGTAACGAGAATATGTTTTTAATACGTAACTGAATATATATAATGTATGTATGTAGATGTGATGGAATAAAACCCAGGGGCAGTGGAATAATTACCTAGGGGTGGAGCTAGAAGCGGTGGAATGATTTCTTGCATGGCCATGCTGGAGATGTATAACAGGAGTGTAGTTGTAGAGGTAGACCTACATGGAGGTAGTACGAATCTTACCTTAAAAAATGCTTAATGCAGTGGAATGATAACCTGGAGCGTAGCTGTAGGAAATTAGCTAGGCCCACATAGAGGCAACTGCGATATGTAAACGTTTGGTGAAACGGATTTAAGTACCTGTTGACAGTGTGCAGTGCACTGTTATATACTGTGTTATTTACACTCTGAAAATTACTATGATGGGAGCAGTAGCACTTTTTGGCCAGAAGGCAAATCTGTGAAGAATTTTTCCGAGGTAGGATGTGTTGGCAGTCTTCTTTGTGAAGAATATTTCCAAAAATGTGTATTAAACCCCTATTGTTTATTTAATCATTGTAGGTATCGGCAAAGTTTACAACCCTACCTAATTTTCATTGATTTTATCATTGTATGGTTAAAATTAAATGCATTGATTAAATTAAAACGTACGTTTCCTCATAGATAAAACATATGTTTTAACTATGGTTTCATTTAAGCCTAACTTCAAAAGAACACTTAGAAAATACAAATTGACGACAAGCAGGATTAGGACGGGTCCACTCTACCTGCGGATATTTTTTATGGGGAAATCCCCACAAAAAAATCAAAATTTCAAAAAAATGAAAAAACACCTGGAGATATTATGGATTAGAACCTACATACCAAATCTCATCGAAATCGGACCACAGGTGTAGTCCGTAGCTCTGTACACATCCACACACACACACACACACACACACACACACACAGACATCACTTCGAAAACCACTTTTTTGGGTCCAGGGGGACCCAAAACGAATATATCCACTCAAAACTCAAACTCGAAAATTTTGACGAAAACAATACTTTCTCCATATACTATGGTATAGGGGGAGAAAGTAAAAATGTAAATCCAAGGCCAAATCTAAATCCAATCCAATTCTGACATCTGAGTGAGTGTGAGTAGTGAGAAGTGAGACAGAGACACTACTACTAGTGGTACTAACTTACTTGTCAAAGTTGTAGGTTATGTTTCCAAATTGTAATTGTAATGTAATAAAATTTTACTAAATATGGGAAGAAAGTGTTTAGTTTTTATTTCTATGTTGTATTTAGGTATGTCATTTATGCTTTTAGAATCAGACTGTACCCATATTAAAGGCACTTGGAACACTAAGGACTTCTTCAAATTTCTAGTTAAATTTGGTGTACAAAAGACAGATCTTCGATTCAAAAAAGACACTCTAGGATACATTTTTGGAAATATCACCCTAAAAAGTGATTTTAAGTTTAATGCCACCTTAGCTGTGCTAGATAGAGCGTTTTTTCTTGATTACTATGGAAATAGGACAATTGTAGATAAGGAATTGGCATGTCAACAAATGTTTAGTAAAATCAAGGAGGTTGCTTATGATTCTGTATGCTTGACTGAAGGAGAAGATTTCTTGAGAAAGGTACCTTGCCTAGATGGAAAATTATGCTATGATGAAGATGCCCCCTGGGATGTTATAAAAGGTTCTCAATTCACATTTCAAGTAGAAGACCTCAAAGAACCACGGTAAGGTTAAATTAAATGCAGACCTAGAATAGGCTAGTTAACTCTAGCATGCACGTGTCAGATGAATTTTCTCCATGCCCATTTTAAATGTAAAAGAAATTAGGTACACAAAATGGCACCCTAGTCAGGGTTGCCACCCGTCCCGATTTTGGTTCCTTAACACGTTCGCTGCTACGGACGTTCTGGAACGTCACCGTTCATTGTTTTTTAACGTTTCCATGGATCAGCCAGCTCGTCACGAGCGTCCATATTTCTTTGCAGCTCGTGGGGACGTACTTTTCTGACAATAAAAAATATAGTTTCCCAAAATCACTACCAGGGCTGTAGGTATAGAACAGGGCTTTGTCCCCACCTCTTTCCTGCTAGATAGCAAAACTACTTTACCGACTGCAATCTGGGTAGTGCTGCTATCTATCAGAATTGCTCGGTACTATGTCCAAAGCTAGTTTTATTGCAGGACATTGCTATCCAGTATAACTACTGTTGTTTTTACTGCAATTCAGTGCCGTAAAACGGGGTGACTTGAGCCCACTTTTGAACTTTGCTTGTTCATTAAAGTAATCCCATTAAGTATTTTTTTATGAATCTTTTACAGTAAACTTAGTCTTGGTCTATTCTACAAATGTGTGGAATAAGATTTTTTTAAAGTTAGTGTAACTATTAAAAAAAAAAATATGGGTGGGCTCAAGTCACCTCGTTGGTCGGGGTGACTTGAACCCAGCTGATATATTTCAATGCTATTCTAATGCACTAGACCCACTGCACTGACCCATGAGGTGACTTGAACCCACATATATAGTTGACTATTTTGGTATTTTTTTAGATTAAAAATTCCTGTTTTTTTAGGTTTAATGACGGTAAGTGTAAAACAAAACACAAAGTTTTCGTCGAAACTGTAATAAATTTATAAAAAACTTACAGAAACATTTAAACAAATTTTACTTACTAAATATTGAAGATCTGAATATGATTAATCAGAAAAAGTCCACCAGCAATTTTTGAAAATATAAAAAGTAATTTTTTCTGTAAATGAAATGTTGCCAATATCTCGTTCTAGTTAATCTGAACCGATTCGTCACTCCGATATAGAAAACTTCACAATAGACATTTTGACAGTCATTAATAGACTAACTAAATGTAAAAATAACAAATTGTTTTTTATCTACACACTATTTACACTAGTAAAAGCACTTGTTCTACTTTATGTCTTTGTCCATTAACCGCCACTTTTCCACTTCTGGAACGGCAAAAGATCCTTCGGCGGTAATGGGTGTGGGGGCTGCTATTTTTCCTTTAACATCTGCTTTGCTGTACCAGCACTCGTCTACCTTTTCTGGCCATTTCCAATTACTAAGACCACTCATGGTCATTGTACTTATTTTAAAGTCTTCCCCTGCATTACCAGTACCGGGACCTATGTCCGTTATCATGCCAGGGAAAAACTTGCCTTCATACATCACCAAGACATAGCAGCCTTTTTCATAAGCACTTTTTTTTGTTTCACAATTTTCTTTTATCTTGGAAAAAATGTTTCTTTCATTTTTCTTGCTAGTTAATTTAGTTTCTATCTTCTTGCTTCTTCCCTTTTCTGGTGCTTGCATTTCTAATATATCATCAAAATCTTCTTCTTCGAACTCACTATACTCTGAATATACACTCTCTGGTTCACTTTCACTGCTAGTATCTGAATCTTTGCTCACTGCTGCTTTTTTCTTTCTTTTTACTGGTGGTGATGTTAAATTGCTGGTAGATGTTGAAGGCTGGTTACCATGTTGAACAATCGTTACCACTTAAACACAGGTGGGCTCAAGTCACCCCAAAATCTGCCAAACTTGGTCATGATAAGGTAAACCCAGGTCATACTGACTTAAACCATTACATAATCAAACATGCTTCAACATGTTTGTGTTGTCGAGGAAATAATGAAATGGGGAAAAATAGTTTTATTTTCATTTAAGTGCAAATACCCATTGTGCCGATAACCTTTTTTCAACGTAATGAAATTCAGATTCGGACGTGTTAACATTATTATTTTTTATAATTATTAAAATGGACAGTTAAAATAATTGGAATTGTTTGTGGTGAAAGCTAATTAGGTAACCTTCAAATTGATATATAAAACCTTTTGATAAATCATTTAGGTTTTCTGAAACGAAAATTCAAAACTTTTTCTTGCGTTTTGGGCTCAAGTCACCCCACTGGGCTCAAGTCACCCCGTTTTAGGTGTATTACCGGTAACGGCAATGTTACACAGGGGCGAGCGCTAGTTCAGCTCCTGGCGCCGTCCCGGCATCTAGGGCTCTCAGTGAACGTGTTTATGCCCGTATTTAAGCTTATGTTAATTCGGGGGGAGGGGGCAATGTCCCAATTTTCTCCTAACCTAAGGTGGCAACCCTAACCTCAGTGCTTTCTCCTTCAGAGTAGGCCTACCTTCCACTCGACTCAATTACAGGATAACTTTGAAGTCTAATTCAATATAGCCTAGTGTGCCAGTTTTGTAATTGTAGATCTTATATATTATACTAGCTGACCCGACAGACGCCGTCCTGTCCTAATGTGGTTTTATGTCAAAGGCTCGTTCATTTTCAAGATGAGCTCGTTTGCATGGCTCAATCATGTCCTGGTTGAAGTTCGTTTGCTACGCTCACTCACCTTTAGGTTGGAGCTCGTTCGCTGCGCTCACTTGCCTTCCGTTACATTTGACAACAAATTCGTAAAAAACAAATGGAATAGACACCTATTTGATAGCTCTCATTTTTTATGCATAGATTTGTTTTTAAAAATTAGGTTATCATTAAAACAGCTGTTTCCTTAATTTAATTTAGGCCTAATCAAGAAATGAAAGACATGGCATGGTAAACAAAAAATAAAACATTCTTCCCCAAGATTAACCTTTAAACTGCAAAGGGCCATAGGACGCTTCCCTTAAGGGTTTTTGAAACGGAAACAGGCTATTATGTTATTCTAGTACCTAAGGAATATCCCTATAAATTTTCATGCCAATTGGTTCAGTAGTTTTCCAGTTATAAACGCTGTAACTAACACAACTTTCTTTTATATACTAAGATGGTAAAGTCAGCACTGAATAGGCTAAATACTGAAAATACTGATAATAACTGAATAGGCTGTAAGGAGATATTAGTGGGGAATTACTAGTGAGATTTAATATATTATGGTAAATATAAGTTAAGTTTTTAAGCTATTTTTAATCAATATTATGAAAACAAATTTAACGGTTCTTTGAAAAAATAGAAAAAGATAAAGGAGACCTAAAAAGCGGAAAGCTGGCTTTAGAATTAAGTTATTACACTGATAACCAAGGCAAATCAATATCTCTGGATAATGCTAGATGTGATTTCTGTCCTAGAAATTGAAGCAAAAAAACTACCAAGTAAGTTTACTGTGCTAATTAGATCCATGGTAAACACATAGAGACGTAGGAATTGGCTAACTCAGGAACTCGCTAACTCGGTCGTGTGGCGGAACTGGCTAACTCTGGAACTGGTTAACCGTCTCAGTCAGGAATTGGCTAACTCCGGAACCCGCTAACTCGATTTTGTCTCGCGGCGGAATTCGCTAACTCTGGAAGTCGCTAACCCGGCCACGCCCACTGCTCGGAGCGTTGCCAACCTTGTACGACAAAATAATCGTACACTGCCGTATTTCAAAATGTCAGTGTCTATAAAGATACAGTAAATGTTATTGTTTTTTGTTATCAATTCCACTTTTAACAGATAACTAGCCCAAAGTAATTAAAAGACAATTAAAAAATCATGAAAAAGTGTTTTTTATTAAACTGTACAATGGCCAGTTAAATGTTTATGATTTCGATCTTAAATATAAATGCCATCAGTATAAAAGAAAATAATAGAATATGAAAAATATTCAAAATTTAGTTTAGTTGGTAATAAATAATTAAACCTCTACGAAATTAAGCTAAAATACACGCAAGTTCTTAAACACGGAAAACAGATTTAATTGTAATGTCGTAATAAACCAAAACCATTAATTAATACAGTCATCAACCATCGTAACTTTCATAATTAATTCATAGATTTTAAATTAAATGTTCGTCGTTGAACCGCCCAACTTACGTGTACAAATATGATGACAAAGACTAAGTTTTTATCTAGGCCTAATAGTTTGAACCAAAGCATTGTAGGCCTACTAGTAAATAGTTGCCTAATTCTAAAATGTGTTGAATTTTGTAGCAATAATGTTACATGTTTTAAAACGGTTTTTAGATTGTACACCTAAGCACCACTAGTAAAAAATAGGAGAAGATATAATATTCATATAATAAAACGTGACAGGGTTATTTTAATTCACGATTTTTAATAAACTAATTGACGGATTTTCCTGATTTGAGTGTTGGGTTTCCTTTATATTGCTTTCACAAACGATATAAACTATACCAAGCCATTGCTCGGTTCACCGTTCCCCAGTACTGAGCTACACAATAGACAATAGCTTTGTTTTTGGATAAGATAGAACCAGCCTGGAAAAAAACTCCAGACTTTTAAAAAGTAAGCCTACTGAAAGACGTAAAATTAATATTAATTCAACAAAATTAAGAGGATGACCCGGGTTCTACACTAATAGCCTACGATAAAAGAAATTTACAAGTTGTATTTATGCATAGACTAACTTTTAATGCAATCCATGAATACATTAGGCCTACCACTTTATAATGTATTGATAAATATTTATTTAAATTCAATAGCTCTATTTAAAAATACATAACCACTACAATGTAATTCTGTAATGACGTTTAACGTGTAAATTTTATTATGATTTATGATTTAAGGTTACTACAAGCCCAGTATATAAAATACGAACTCAAAAATTTTATTTGCAGAAGTTCACAAAATGGTATTTATTCGAATAAAAGAAACAAATGGCGGACTACGAAAATAGATATTTCATAACATGTAATAGATCCAAATTAAATGTGCATTTTTATCTTTTTCATACCAATAAGCTACTATTTAAGTAAGAAACCCACATATAAAACATACTCCCTTATATTAGTACATTTCTCATCCTTATGGATGATCTGAAGACAGTTGTATTGTTAGTTCTGTCTGGTGCACTGTCTTTAGAGGTCGTGTTTTGTTTACAATTGTTTCTTGTTTTCAGTAATTTAAAACCTCGTTTAACCAAATAAAACGTTCTAATCACAAATAATAACACGTCCTCTAGTTATATAACCTAACAGTAAGGAACAAATCATGAAGTTAACTATAAAATAATAGAAACACAATTTTGTCGACACTAGCGATCAGTGTCACCGGACATGAACTAGACACGAAAAATGAGCTTCAAAGTTTACAATGGGATGTAAAGTTTACTTGTGTTGGTTAGTCTATGGTAAGACTATAATGCATTTTCCACCCTAATAATCATAAGAACTTCTCTGTGGTTAAACTTACTTCTAAATATATATATTATCGACTACGTTGCTCTTACTCCTAATTAATCGTAGGATACGACATTATGGTGCCGATACGATATAGGTACTACACTTTCGGCAACACTGGCCAAAAATATTCGTGCTTGGCTCCCATTGGACGGCCCGCGAGGCTTCTGATTGGGAGTTAGCGAGTTCCGCCGAGGGACCGAGTTAGCGACTTCCGTACGAGGACGTAATTCGCTAACCCGGCTCTAGAGCGGGTTAGCGGGTTCCGGAGTTAGCCAATTCCGAAACCGAACAAGTTAGCGAGTTCCTCTCATCGACCAAATTTGAAGATAGGGCATTTAACATGGGGTTAGCGAGTTCCAGAGTTAGCCAATTCCGCGGACCCAACACATACTTGGAAGGACCGTGAAGTGTAAATATTTTTAACTTATTGATTGTTTTAATGTCTTATCACTAAGCTTATCCATTAAGATTTTCTACATAAGTTAGTTTTATTAACTTAAGGTTCATTTAAGATTCCAAGCTCCAGGCTTCATTAAGACGGGATAAGATTCCAAATATCGAAACATTGTGTCCTGTTTGTTACTATCGTGATGGAAAATGTCTGATATAAACCTTTGAACAACAGTTGAAAACAGCGTATAAAAATTGTTTGTTTAGCTTTCATTTAGGCCTACATAAGATCAATATCATATCTTTGTGCTATCAAACACATGTGGTTAAATATTTACCCAACATGGTCCAATCAAAAATTTCTACATGAAACAAGAATTTAAATAGCGTTTAAATTTCCCAGTTGGACAAGAAGTTTACCTGACCTTTTTAAAGTAAATAATAAGACCGCATGTTCGTAATAGCCTATTTAGATAAAAAATATTGATTTGAGAATAGGCCTACCTTGTTATTTAAAACTGTTGATTCAGGTAATTTTGTTGTTAAAATTCCCAATCACAAGATCAAATATTATTGGTTAATACCTAACTTATTAAATTTCAACAAAATCTGTAGATTACTGTACCTATTCGATCGGTGGTAGTTTCCAAATGGCGCGTAAATACTTTCTCTATATTTTATCAGTGCTCATCATCCGAATGTTTATCCTTTGTACTGTGTTTTAGGAGCTATATTGGCTTGATTTTAAATGCTATGACTCTTTGTTTTGTTTACATTTACGTTGTTATTTTTAATCATCACGGCAACCCATAAGGCCGATGTTAAAAGTTAAAAACGTTGAGTTACTTTTAAATTATATCTGCACTATCAAAAATTGAAAATGTTTTGTCTTAAACCAAACATTTGTTGAAACAACCTTGGTAAGTTTGGCTAAAACATATTCAGCCGTTTTTGAGTGATGTAGTGTTAGAAAATTTGCATTAAAGCCGACCATAAAGAGCTTCGCTTCACCCAATAACTAATTTTTAGTAGAGCCAGTGACAGCGCTGCCACCTAGATTTAATAACTGAGGCCATTAGCATAGATAAAACATACTCCCTTATCCTGTTGGAACAGCTGAAGCCAATTTTAATGTTAGTTCTGTCCGGTGCACTAGGTCATGTTTTGTTTACAATTTGTTTCTTCTTATTTCAGTCATTTGAAACCCCGTTAAACCAAATAAATTGATACAATCATAAACAAAAACTCATCCTCTAGTTATATAACCAAACTGTACAGCACAAATCAAGAATATTAACTTTAAAATAATAGAAACAAAATGTTGTTGACAGTAGCCACCAGTGTCACCAGACAAGAACTAGACACAAAAAACGAGCTTCAAAATTTACAATGGGGTGGGAAGTCTACTTGTGTTGGTTAGTCTATGCCATTAGTTACCAAAGTACTATAAGCCTAAGCCCAGGGGCCTACCATCGAAAATTTTATCTACTACTTGTAATAGGACAAATTTATAGCTACCGTAGTTTATTCAATTTGAGTAGAATAGAATTTTTGCTAACTGAACAAACCATTGCAGGTTTTGGTATGTAAGTTTAGTTGCTTGCTACCGCAATACATCCGGAGGTTGTGGTTTCCATCATATACCAGACGATGCTGAACTTGAATATGACATTTGGCTGGTGAATGGAAACCCTAACACAACTAGCTACAATCCACTAGTCTACCAGTTCTCATTTGATCGCCAAGTAAGTGTGAAATACTAAACAAATACTAGCTGCCATTACAACTTACAGTACTTGTGCTTAGCTATAGGAAGAGGATGCTAAAAAGGAATAACGTGGTTTTCAGATCTGCTTTATAGGTTTTTTAGCATATTATTTTCTTGAAAGTATAAAAATACGTCAAATAACACTTATAATTGAGCGGAGCGAGCGAAGCGAGCGAAGCTCTTATACTACACTCCTGCTTTTTTATTACAAATACTCCTCCTGAACGGCTGAAGCGATCTGCATGAAATTTAACACAGTCATAGTAACCAACCATGGGAAGGTATAAATCTGAAACGGTACAAATCGGACCATAGGACTTTTCCCTACATGAATGCAAACTTTTGGAAATTTAACATGGGCCTTATGGGTTAATTGGTCGCCATGTCATTATTTGCGAGTAAACACTAAAAAGTAAACAAGAGCCTCAACATTAGTCAACAAATCTACCACATGATAAATACAGTACAAAAGAAAAAATTGGATAATACTAAAGAGCATATTATAGTATATTGTATGTAATACGAAATGATTAACAATCAGTTCTATATTGAGTGATTAAACTCCATGCCGTTTATATTTAATTGTAAAATGGTTCTGTTCTTTTTAACAACAATGAATAGTTAACTAATTAGGCCTAAGTTTATGTTGCTTGGAGAAGGAGAAGATAAAACGAGGTCATTAAAAAAACACTACAACATAATTATACCAACAAAAATCACACCGCCCTTGATTTGCAAGAAACTTTGTAAAAAATGTTCTTGTAGCTAAAAATACAAAATCGTTTTACGAAATGAAATCACAACCACGTGGTTTACAGGTAAGGTTTAAGACTAAATGGTGTAACTTAGACAATAAAATAGTTGTATTGATAAATTTTATTGCACAATAGGGAAATTTTGAAAGTGGTTGACGACAATTTCTTACTTTTAACTGCTAAAATAAAACTAGACCTAAGTTATAGGCCTATAGTAAGTGGGGCTAACCCCAATCCCTCACAACAATAATACTGGTAAACAGTTATTGAGGTAATTGAATTGGTGAGTTTTATGAATGTTCAATGCAAATAAGTCTTCTGTACAAATAAATGATTCTTTTTTTAATAATGAAGAAAGAAGACATTGAAAAAAAATAAAGAAAAGCAAATTCTACATACAATGGGTAATAATAATATAATAATAATCGTTATTGCCTTTTAATAATACAGGTATTGCTTAGGCCTACCATGATTCATTTGCAGTATCGAAATTATTGAGCGGAGTGAAGCGAAGCTCTTATCCTACACTCACTGCCTTTGTTTTACAAATACAGGTCAGGCTCCACCTGACAGGCTTAAGCGATCTGCAGGAAATTTGGCACAGTCATGTAACCAACCATATGGGAAGGTATAAATCTGAAATGGTAATATTCGGACCACAGGACTTAAACCAATAATAAGGGTTGCCGGAATTAGGCTGATGCACCATATTGCGTTTGGAATCTGTAAATAACTTACAGCATTTTATGTGAGCAAGACGTGCAATTAATGTAGACTTTGAATATCTATCTGATTGGAACATGTTCAATTCCTATTTGCAGTCTACAAATAGGAATTCCACTAATGTGAACCAAATATAACACAATTCGTTGACTTGAACCCGACGTATCATTGACTTTGAATACTGCACATAGACATCCCATATAAGTGAAGCAGAAGTAGGCCTAAGCCTACCATTGACTTCGGATACTGCAATTAGGCATTTTATTTATGTGAACAAAATAAATGGACCATTGATTTATTAAGGATACTGCAAGTAGACTATTCATTTACATGTACCATTGGGTTTGGATACTACAAGTAAACAATCCGTCTACGTGAACCATATGTACTATTGACTTTAGAATCTGTAAATAGGCATTCCATTTATGTGAACCAAATATATCATTGGCATTGGATACTGCAAGTAGACATTTAATTTAGGAGAACCAGATGAAACATAGAATACGGTTCCTGCAAGTAGACGATTCATTCACTTAATCCTGACTTATGATTGACTTTGGATACCTCTGCAAATAGGCATTCTATTTAAAATGCAAAAAAATCATTGATATTGAATATGCTGGCTCCGCTCAATATTGCAAGCAGACAACTGCATTGTACACCTAGTAATACATTTACTCTTGTAGGGACTGTTTACTTACAAGCATACAGCAGTTGGAAAAGTTAGTCAAAAATTCTAACTAGTTAGATGTTATTAGTTAGTCCCCTAAAAAGTAACTAAAAGAAGTTATTATTTAGTTGAAAAACTAACTTGAAAGAAAATAAAGTTAGTTTTTGTAGAAGTTAGCTGTTTGTTGGGCAGTTGTGTTAAAGGATATCATAATGACACATCTTGGTTACTAATCTATACTATAATATGAGTAAAGTTTGTGCACAATGATTTAAAAAACGGCTCCTACGATTTCCTCCAATTTCAATGCTATTGAGAATTGCTTATATAATACATATGCATTGTATGATGTATTACTAACCAAAGGGATAGTTACGACTGCTCAAAAACATTAAGTGTTTTACCGCAAAACATTATACACTGATATTGAACTAAAAATCTAAAGGAAAGGCCAAGGACGTTTTGTAGTTTTTGACGATGCGCCGCACGAATTAATGCGTTATTACACCATCCCGTATTTATAGTTGCGACGTTTCGCGATCTCAGTGAATTAATGCAATAACGGTCAACAGAAAACAGATGTTATGTATCATGAGTTTTATATTGGTTGAAGCTTATTGTAGACATTTTATAGATTGCTCGTCCACATGAAAAAGTTTGTAAGGAAAATTAAGGAAGAGTGGATGCCTACCGAAAACAAATTGACTTTACAACTTAATTAATCGCAGTAAGACTGAAAATATTTGTAGGCTTAAAAGCTCTATTTTTTACCTCTTGAACAAATCAAACACCTCGAGCAAGCTCGGTCCGCTGGTACTTGTGTTTTAATCAAATATTGTCACATTTTACAATACTACAACAGAAACAATGACTTAAAACTTGTCAGATAATGAGCATCAACTGGAGATAATGTTTTGACACTTGATATATATCTATCACCAAACAATCATTCCCCCTTCCCACCCCTCAGTGCTTTGGGTGTTGATAATGGCCATCACTGCCCCTCCACAGGCCCACTGCATTCCAAAGCAACTAGACTTTTGACTTTCTCTATCCCCACCCCCCGCGTTGTTTGTCTACAAGGGCGCTGACCTCTCACGGCCGCACGCAACCCTCACTGATCACGTGAAATAAATAACCCGAATTTGAGATGCTTCTGCATTATAGGAAAAGTTAGTTAACAATTCTAACTTGTTAGAAGTTATTAGTTAGTCCCGTGAAAAGTAACTGATAGAAGTTATTAGTTAATTAGTTTAAAAACTAACGAATATTGTTATACGTTAGAATTTCTATACATTATTTGCCAAGTGTGCTTACAAGACGGTAATTTGCCTATTGGGTCTGATGATGATTGGAGTATCCAATCGAAATCGATCACCACTTACCATCTGTATTTACTGTCTTGTAAGTAAACAGTATAAGTGTAAATATATGAGTAACTTAAAGTCATATAATTCATCGTATAAATTGTACAGGGAGCGGCAAATTGATCTTAAGGTTTTCTTTTCCACCCTGTCGAGGGAGTAAGTGGTGGAAGGTTTTGGGAATAAGGGCCTTCCAGAGCCTACGTGCGGACATTTTTAGTAGCTATGGAGCTGTGGGTGGCTGAACACCATGTGTTTGTAGTGGAAGTGTTTTTTTTAAGTAGCAATTCCTGTGTAGCTTTTCAGCAGCCAGTTCCGTAGACGTTTCAAGGTAGGTTCGAGAGGAAAAGTCCCAACTCAAAACACAATTTTGCTGTGGGTGGGTAACTTCAGAGCTACTAGTTCAGCACTAAAACAATAATCAATAGGCCATGCAAGGTCAGCCTAGACGCCAGAGAAAGTTGAGCGAGTGAGAGAAACTGTGGAAGCTAGTCCTTGGCGGCCTGCACGTAAACAAGCATCAGCTCTGCACATTTCTTGACAGCTCAGTAGAAGAATATTACGATACAACCTGCACTTTCATCCATACAAATTGGCAACCGTGCAACAATTGAAGCCCAGTAGTTATGCGAAGCGCAACTCATTTTCAGAACAAGCGATTGATTTGCTTACAGATGACAAAATTGTTATTATGAGCGATGAAGCGCACTTTTAACCACACCACACAGTCTTCCTCACTCTCTTGACGTTCTCTGGCGTCCGGACTGACCTTGAATGGTCTGTTAATTTTAGTTTCAATGCTGAACTAGTAGTTCTAAGTTACCCACCCACAGCAAAATGATGTTTCATGTTGGGACTATTCTTCTTTGACCTACAACGAAACGTCTACGGAACTACCGCTGAACAGCTAAAAAAACAGGAATTGCCACTTAAAAATAATACTTTTCCACTGCAAACACACAGTTCTAGCCTTCCACAGCTCCATGGCTACTAAAAATGTCCGCACATTGGCTCTGGAACGCCCCTTTTTCCCACAACCCTTAACCACTCACTCACTCAACAAGGTGGCAAAGAAAACCGTCAGATCATTTTGCCGCTCCCTGTAAATAGAGAGAAGCAAAAATTCTTTTATTTGTGCTATCATTATAATAGTAATCATCCAAATAAAAAAACGGTATGATATAACTACGTGATCGGTTGCAGAAAGTATTTTTATCATAGTGTTTTTAAACAGTATTTCCTTTTGTCTCCAGAACACACTTCTTCTCTATCTTCTCTTCTTCATCGCCTACTTGGTTTTGGTTCCTCTTCAAGTTTTCGCTGTTACTCGGCAGCGACATCCAGTCACTAGGCTATTCACAGCGAGTCTTCTTCTGGAGTTTGTTGGAGTTATGTTCAACGTCATCGATGTGGTAAAGTACTCAATGGATGGAGTTGGAACGCCAAGCCTAGCCACGGCAGGAGATATTTTGGATATTCTTTCAAGGGTGAGTCTTCTCCTAGAATCTTACCTAGAGGAGTTGCTGTGGCTCTGGATTGTAATTGGCAATGTTGTACTGCAAGTCCCAATACACAATAAAATGTAATCTGTTGATTGTAGAATCAAATAATAAAATCTTCATTTATTTGGTTCCAAAGCCCCCTTAGTTGTTGCCTGATTGGCCTATTTTTATAAATTTCTGAATACTCTTCTTATCAAAAGATTAAAAGTTCAATCTTATTCATGTAGTAACGTTGTCATTTTGTTGTCTGTACAGACAACATTTATGCTCCTGCTGCTACTGTTAGCCAAGGGCTGGGCTGTTACCAGGATGGAGTTGACGTGGAAACCAGTTGTGTTCAGCATATGGGTGTTGTATGGAGTGGTACATATTTTGCTCTACGTCTGGAATAGGGTGAGTTTACAACATGAAAATTTCACTCTATCAAAGTGTAAGTTATTTAAAGATAAAATAAAACCAATATTACATAAACCCTGCTTTAATACCGTTTCCAAAAACTCACAAAAAAACAAAATCAAACAAATAAGTCAGCTGATAAATATTAAAATTAATATGGTCTATTTAAAGACTGTAGGCTACACAAAGTGAGATATTATTTTAAGAGCGTTGGACAAGGGCTTGCATGATTTCTCATGATAAGGTAATTTCAATTTATTTTAATTTCAATTATTTTGTGGGTTTTTAAAACTCACCAGTAGAGAACTATTTAGAATCGTGAGCGAGATGCGCATGTGCATTAGAATCCTTCGCCACTGCCAACGGTTTTGTTATTTTGCACAGTCCTCACAAAAATTGCCGTGTATGTATTTAGAGTAGAAACATAGTGGTGGGTGAAGTTTCCTGTCTCTCTTGTACTACCCTCCGTGGGATTGTGTATTGTTACCAGTTGTAATTATAGTTTTAGTCCTAATTTGTTTGGTGTTACAGACAAAAGTAGACATTGTAGAGGAGATAGATGAGTAACAGACATGGCCAGTATGACTTATCCTTGTGTTAAAGTGTGTCATCATTGTTTGGTGTTACAGACGGAAGTATATATGGTAGAGGAGATGGATGAGTACCAGACATGGCCAGTATGACTTATCCTTGTGTTACTTAAGGTGTGTCATCATTGTTTGGTGTTAAAGACAAAAGTAGACATTGTAGAGGAGATAGATGTGGAACAGACATTGCCAGTATGACTTATCCTTGTGTTACTTAAGGTGTGTCATCATTGTTTGGTGTTACAGACGGAAGTAGACATCGTAGAGGAGATAGATGAGTAACGGACATGATCAGTATGACTTATCCTTGTGTTACTTAAGGTGTGTCATCATTGTTTGGTGTTACAGACGGAAGTATACATCGTGGAAGAGGTGAATGAGTACCAGACATTGCCAGTATGACTTATCCTTGTGTTAAGGTGTGTCATCATTGTTTGGTGTTACAGACGGAAGTAGACATCGTAGAGGAGATAGATGAGTACCAGACATGGCCAGGATGGCTGATCCTTGTGTTAAGGTGTGTCATCATTGTGTGGTTCCTTTTTGAACTGCGCAACACGATGTTGTATGAACACAATGACAGCAAACTCCACTTCTTCCTTCACTTTGGTGCTTCAGCGCTTGTCTGGTACATTTACCTACCTGTTGTTGCTCTGATAGCACTTCAAGTGCCACCCTTCTGGCGCTTCAAGCTGCTGCTAGGTGAGTATGAGATTTTACTATGAATATATAATAGACATTACATCCCAATGTTAAATTTGTTGCCGGTTTTCAAATCGAAGTAGACATGGTTGAATTAAGTCGCCGACATTTTAACTAAGTCAAACTGATAGGCACTGGTGTTAATAGTGTGTTCAACCACTGAGAGTAGGTGGTTTGCAAGTTGATTGTCAGGCAGATGCTTTGATCATTGAAATGTACCAGAACATGAAAATGTGTTCCAGTAGAGAAATGTGTTGGTTAAACCTTATGGAACATATCAAGAACAAAGGCAAGAAATAAATTAATAACAACAGTCTTAATCCGAGAAAACCTAAAAATGTAATTTTATGTATGTCATGTAATTTCTGCATGATCATTGATTTGGTGAATTTGTTCTGCAATGATCGTCAAACGTACAAAACAAGCAATATGTAGCTGTAAATCATGGGTAAAACTACTATTATTAGACAATAATTATATACTATAGCCTAGTTGTGTAGCTCAGTGGTTATAGTGCTCACCTATTTCTAATCTCAGAAGTTGGCCAGTTCAATCCTGAGAATATATTTTGATGACTTTTGATAAATGGTATTATTTAAATATACAGCCGATCTTAGTTAAACAGTAGCAAAGCCACAAAAAGCATCTCACTTCTCTCTACACTCATTTTTTCAATCAGATTCATAAAATTTGTGATATTATCTTAGTGTAATGGTAATGATTCAAGACAACATTAAAATACTATACATACTAAAATGTTATGTTTTTAGGAAAAAGAATTTAGCTTTGATTAAATAAATATATAGGATGGAGAGGACACAGCTAACTCACCTGATGAAAGGTTGCAGACGAGTCAAATAACACATAAAATAAAAATATACACACACATACATAATACTTGATATTTCTCCTCTTTCAGAGGCTTCTTCAGAAGTAGTTCTAGATGCCAGTTCTAAAACAACAGTTTAAATTCAAATTGCCTGACAGGTTGTCCAATTGACACAACACAAAGCACTAATAACTTAACCTAATAAAATCATATCAAAGTTATCTGTATGGATGTAACTTACAAAATGATATAACATTGTTTATTGTTTCTATTGTGTATGTAACTTATCACTTAACTGTGCAGGGATCACATACTCTGCCGATTGTCTGGCGTATTGTATCATGACTCATCTGCTCTGGCCAACAAGAACAGAGCAGTATTTCCTGCTTGCTCATTCGCTCGACCCTAGCGATGAGTTGGACGAGTTCAATGAAGCACCACATGTGCTAAATTCGGGCTACACGAGTTTGCGAAACTCCATCAACTCGGGTAGTGCCCAGGTAAAATGCCAACATAAGCACTGAGTGAAAAATCATTATATTATTATATAATTAATTAACCATGTAAATACGTGAAATAATATGTAGTCTGAATGTACTGAAAAAGTAGCCCTAAAAAGTGAACAGAACTTTCAAAACATTAATTATATACAGGGTGTCCGGTCATAAGTGTTAAATAAAATTTTGCATTAAACTACATGGTAATGGTGACAGAATGTCGCAAATTTGAGGTTCCCAACCTCAACAGTTAGAGAATAAAAAATAAATTAAGATTTTTCAAAAATTATTGTAGTTGTTATGAAAAAGATTATTTTACTCTGTTAAAAATGCACTTACTGTCAATTTCAATGTCATTTTCAGAATCCTCACAAAATTTTAAATAGATATAACACATAATCGTTGGGGTACGGAAAAATATTCTATTTAAAATTCTTCGTTAAACAAATTATTTTTATATCGACGAATATGTAAATAACATTCATCAATTTATTTCTCGGTTGTTGAGTTCCGGCGAGGTTATCAAATATGACTAAAAACTTCCTTATTTAAAGGGCTTTACAATGGTGTATAATAGTGTTTACCGTATTTCAAATTTCCTAATGTAATTCGATCATTATTGTGAAAAACATGGTAGGGCAAAGAAAATCTATTGTGAAGAATAATACATTTAAGTGCAGGCAACAAATAATTAGATTTTTTCTCGCATGCAACGCTTTGTTTATAACTACCAAGCTAAGACAAGAAACATAGTAGTAAAATGTTTTTGTGATAAAGTTACGGTTATCGTATATTTTTCATATAAGGTTTAAATTATCTCCCGGAATTTCTATCTTGTTGAATGGATTTAGTCAATAGATTCAGGTATTTTACTGATAACATTATCCAAGCGATAAGAAAACCAAGTGAACCAGTAGTCATATTTTAAAAAAGATCTATCAGTCATATGTGGACAGTAATCGGTCAACTATGTCTTTTTCGACTCGGGAGTATGTTGAAATGCATTTTATTTATGGTTTGTGTAACGGTAATGCGTCGGCTGCTCAGAGAGAGTACCAGAATCGGTATCCTGATCGCACCACCCCCAGTACTCAGGTGTTTACTAGAGTGCATCAACGTTTGCTGGAAACAGGATCGGTTGAGAAGAAGAAGAAAGAAGTAGGACCTGTGCATGATGTTGCAGCTGAAGAGGGTGTAATTCAGAGAGTTATGGATAATCCTACTACTAGTGTTAGGCAGCTTGCCCTTGAAACTAGTATGTCCCGGTGGAAAGTACATAAAGTGTTAAAGGACAATAACTTCCATCCGTATAATTTTACAAAGGTCCAAGGATTGGAGCCTCGTGACTTCGAATCCAGAAAGGAGTTCTGCCGCTGGCTTCTTCAACGTGATATTGTTGAATATCACTTCCTTAAAAAAATACTATGGACTGACGAATCCCGTTTTACCAGAGAAGGTGTGATAAATATTCACAACATGCATCTTTGGAATAATGAAAATCCAAAAGCCTCCAGAGAAGCTTCTTTTCAAAAAAGGTTTGGGATCAACGTGTGGGCAGGTGTGATTGGAGATCGGTTAATTGGTCCTCATATCTTCGAAGGAAATCTGAACGGTGATTTATATCTAGATTTTCTTCAGCACTCTCTACCTCAGTTGTTGGATGAAATTGATCCTCAACAAAGAGCTGAAATCATATTTCAGCAGGATGGTGCTCCACCACATTTTACTGAAAGCGTTCGGTTGTGGCTATGGTCGGGTAAACTACCCGACATGGATTGGACGTGGAGGAAGTGTGGCATGGCCTCCTCGATCTCCAGACTTGAGCCCGTTAGATTTTTTTGTTTGGGGTTACATGAAAAGTCTAGTTTACTCAACTGTTGTAAACTCTGAAGTTGAGTTACGGGAGAGAATCTTTGAGGCTGCTGGGAAAGTAAGGGAAAAATTGACGTATGAGGTCACAGTTGGCGCAATCCGCAAAAGAGCTAGGGCCTGCTTGCGGGAAAACGGTGGGCACTTTACACCCAAACTGTGATTTGTGCTTCGGACAAAGTATGTCATTGATTTGTTTAATGTGTTAACTATCCTTTCATATTTAAATTAAAGTGTGTATTGTGTTTTTTACTAATGTGTTGTGTTTTTTAATTACAAATTTTCCAAAGTCTTAAAAAACTCTTTAGTTTGATGCAAGTGTAGTCTGGTCAATCATAAATTATACACAAACTCATCATCAGTGGTCAGCTCATAAAATAGTAAGTAAAAGTTTATTATTTTTTACAATATCTGTTTTGGCTTGACCGTGATTTTTCACAATAGTGCGTAAAATTCACCATGGATTTGACAGTAGGTAAATGTTGTTATACATCATTGTAAAGCCCTTTAAATAAGGAAGTTTTTAGTCATATTTGATAACCTCGCCGGAACTCAACAACCGAGAAATAAATTGCTGAATGTTATTTACATTTTCGTTGATATAAAAATAATTTGCTTAACGAAGAATTTTAAATAGAATATTTTTCCGTACCCCAACGATTATGTGTTATATCTATTTAAAATTTTGTGAGGATTCTGAAAATGACATTGAAATTGACAGTAAGTGCATTTTTAACAGAGTAAAATAACCTTTTTCATAACAACTACAATAATTTTGGAAAAATCTTAATTTATTTGTTATTCTCTAACTGTTGAAGTTGTTAACCTCAAATTTGCGACATTCTGTCATCATTACCATGTAGTTTAATGCAAAATTGTATTTAACACTTATGACCGGACACCCTGTATAGCCTAATTTTACTGTGTTGTGTATGGGCATTTTTTAAGGAAAAATCACTCTCTTTTAAGGGAAAGCAGTTTAAACGATAGTGATGACAATTAACTAAAACAACTATCACTGAAACTATCATTCTATCTATAGCCTATTGTTGATATTATTTCATTATTTCTGGATAAATGCTATTTCAATTTACCTTTAAGTGAAAAATAATAATCAATGATGGGAGATAATTGGAATTTATAAATGAGAAAATTATAACCGGTAGAAGTACAAAATACAATTGAAATAAAAAATATAATTTTTCTGTTGTATTATAACAAATAATATGCCATCACTCAATTCAAATACAAGAAAGGCTTTATATGTTATTTGTAATTTTTCAAAAGAAATGTTGTAATTTTTTATGTGCAAAATATCTATAGTGATCATGTGCTTGTTGTCATAGGATCTGACCTTTACCACCATACAGAGTGCAGGCAGCACATCAGACTTGGCTTCACTGGAGTACTCCAAGATGGTCATGTGATCCAACCAACTCCGGTAATTACTTCTATTTTGTTCACATTAAAATGGCTACCTATACTTAGTTCACAATATTTAGTGGTTTTAGGGGAAAAAATCTACCCCCTACGCTTGGCACTTATCCTTTAAAAATAGCTCAACAGCTGATCAAGCAACATACATTAAATTCAAAATATGTAGTGGAGTATCTTCCCCACAAACTGCCTAAATATTGTGAACAAAGTATATTTTGAAAGGGACTTGTCCCCATAACAAACAATCAAATGCTTTTTCCTACAGCCACCCGACAAAGTGGGCTTAATTGCACAGATTATAGTACAGAAAGCCTTACTTTGGCGCACACCAGTATTCCAACCAAACAACACAAAACAGCGTGCTTTTATTATGCACATATTCCGTGAACGCTTGAAAATAAGTTGGCAACACTCAAAGATATTACAACTACGATCAGCTGGTGCAGCGTTTCCTATTTTGTTCAATGTTTGAATTTAACCTAACCTAAAAGCGTGTTGTACAGTGTTTGAAAGACTAATTGAGCAGAGCGAAGTGAAGCGAACGAAGCTCTTATACTACACTCCTGGGACCTGTTTCATAATAAACTACAAGCTACAAGCTGTAACTTGTAATTTGTAATTTCCATTAAATTTGCATTGGACAATCAGCCGATTTACTAATAATATTAGTTTGTAATTTATTATGAAACAGGCCCCTGCTTTTTTTTACAAATACTTCTCCTGAACGGCTGAGGCCATCTGCACCAAATTTAGCACAATCATAGTAACCATAACCAACCATGGAAAGGTATAGATCTGAAATGGTACACAAATTGGACCACAGGGCCCTTCTCTACGTGAATTTAACTTTCGAAAACTTAACATGGGCCTTATGGGTTAATTTGTTGCCATGGCATTATTTGTGAGATAACAATAAATACCCCCGCCGCAGTAAACCTGCCGACTAAGCGAATTTCCATTTGTCGGAATTGATTTTAAATTAAATCTCTTTAAATAACATTAGGTTTAACGAGTCCCTAGGTTTGCTGCTACAAGGAAACCGTTAAAATGGGGTTTTTAGTAAAATATTAATAGCTTAGTATAAAATAAATAAACTGGCCAAGTTTAATCAAAATATAGGCCTATCCATAAACAAGCAAACTACAACATTTTACAATATTCTCCATAAGAATAACATGGGAATTTTAAATTTAAATTTTTTTAATTTTCTCCGTTACCAATAACCGTACAAATACACTTTAGCATACTAAATTATTTGTTTTTTTAAGCTCTTTAAAAAGGTCTAGAGATAAATTGGGATATTTTGTGTTTTGAGGGTCAAAAATGAGAAAAACCATTTTGTACCCCATAAAACCCCATGTAAAACCCCGTTCCCATGATCCGATCATGCTGGTTTGCGAACTCATTAAAGTTTATCCCGCCTTACCCCTTTCAACCACATTTAATCAAAATCGGACAAAAATTACTCAAGTTATCACGTTCACGGACGTATATATATATATATATACAGGGTGGCAGAAAAGTAACTTGCACCCCCCCTTAACTTTTCAACCATTTGAGATATTTGAAATCGGTTTGCGGCAACCTTCTTAGATATGAGGGGCTACAATAATAATGGTCAATTTTGAAAATTTTGCCCTTAGGGGTGGGGGCAGGGGGTAGCTCAAAATTTTCAAATGACAAGTATAGTCGAGTTTGGTATCATTTTACAGGTCTTGACAAAACATAACAATTAACATAAAGAAAATAGAAATCGGACCATTAATAACAAAATTACAGCTAAAAATGATTGAGACAATGGTCATTTAAAGTAATTTTGAGCTGCCATTTTGTTATTAATGGTCCGATTTTATATTTTCTTTATGTTAATTGTTATGTTTCGTCAAGACCTACAAAATGATACCAAACTCGACTATACTTGCTGTTTGAAAATTTTGAGCTACCCCTTACCCCTGCTACCCCTAAGGGCAAAATTTTCAAAACTGACCATAATTATTGTAGCCCTTCATTTTCAAACAAATTGCCGCAAACCGATTTCAAATATCTCAAATAGTTAAAAAGTTAAAGAGGGTGCAAGGTGCAAGTTAATTTTTTTGCCACCCTCATGGTTATTTGGATTTGAAACGTTTTAGGGTGCCATTTTGTTATTAGTGGGCCGATTTTGGTTTTCTTTATGTCAATCGTCAAGACCTGTAAAATGATACCAAACTTTCCCTATAGGGAAATTCGCTAAAAGGTAAACAAGAGTCGCAACATATGTTAGTCAAAAAATCATCTTAATAGCACATTACAAATAACGTACAGAGAAAAAGGGGAGAACAATCGGATTTTCGGATTAATATCATTGAGCATAATTTACTACAAAATGAATAACCAATAAATATGGTCGCCAAAAAAAGGCTGATGCGCCACTGACTTTAAATAATCCAAATAGCCATTCCGTTTATGTTGCCCAAATATAGGCCTACCATTGAGTTTGGATACTGCAAGTAGACTTTCCATTTATTTGAACTAGATTTACCATTCAATAATGCAGACTTTGAATATGTCCTGCAATTAGGAATTCCATTAATGTGAAGAAAAGATAAACACTAAGTTTGGATACTGCAAGTAGACATTCTATTGACGTGAACCAGGCGTACCATTGACTTTGGATATTGCGAGTAAACAATTTGTTTACGTGAACCCGACGTATCATTGACTTTGAATACTGCAAATAGACATTCCATTGTTAACTAGAAGTAGGCCTACCATTGACTTTGGATACTGCAAATATGGCATCTTATGTATTAGACTAGTAAAATTTTTGGTTAACCTAGAAGTAATTGTAATATAAATTCTTACAATGGATTCTTATGTAAAAATGGCTGAAAAAAACGATGGTGAAAAGTCTACTACTCTACGGAGGTGCGTTGGCCTTGTATGAAAGGTTTTTCAAAATGGCTACCGTAAATATTTATGTTTTTAGCCAATAAGTCCTAAACTATTACAGATAGCTTAAATAAGTAAATGAGTAAATTTTAAAGGATTAAATTGCGCAACTTTTGGTATATAATAAGTTACAAGTCTTTAAATTCTTAAAAGATAATAATGTTGTCAAACAATTTTAATAGTTTATCGTTATTCAGAGAAATTTTGAGTTATGGATTTTAAGTTGGCAACAATGATTGTTTTGTACCAGCTGAGAGTTCTTATTGTTGTTGTTAATATTTCTACATGTTCCTAGTTTACTTTCATGTTCAGTAGTGATGTTTTAAATTAAATTTTAGTGAAATTAGTGTTGCGATGGGGATGTTAATCCCCCTTAGTATTACAACTGAAAATAGAAAAATGAATAGCGAAACATGTTTTATTTGTGAACAAATTATACATGACAGTTGTGAGGTGTTATCTCTCACTGAAAAAGCAATTGAAGCAATACACCGAACCAGTATGGCAAGGAAAATAACTGAAAAACATGTAATTTTTTGTAAAAAATTAATAAAAATGTAGAGCGCAGTTTAAGACTTAAAAGTCTTCATTCAGAAAGCGGGAGGATGAAACCAGTTGTTCCCGTTTGACACGTTTTAGTGAAACCTATTTTGATTTCAAAAGTAATTGTTTTTGTGCACAGCTGAATTAAGCCTAACATATAAACAGAGGAATAAAACGAACGGTTTGAAGCTCAGCAGGTTGAACTCAACATCAGTGCTAGAAAAGTGCAACGAATGTAAAGAAGAATGGGCTGTCAAAGTCAAAATACGGCTTCTAAATGTGTATGATTTGCCTGCTATGAAAGCATGTTATCACAAACAATGTTTAGTAAAATTTTGAAATGGAAAATCTATACCACAACAATTAGTGACATAAGCTCTGCCAGGTCGCCCATTCTGCTGCTGCACATAGAGGTACAAGTATGCCTGATCACAATCCACATCTCCTGAGTGTTTTATTCAATATTCTGCTGACAACATTAGCCACAATATAATTAGACTAGATGGTAATGGAACTTTCCATGGCATGGGTATTATAGCTAGCGTAGTTCCAGCAGGGGCATTTTCTGAGGTTGAAACGTAATGTTTCCTATGAAGAGAGCTTAAGGACGTGGAAGATTTCCATTAGGCTACAGTGTATTCTTCTCAGGCTAGTAGAATGCGGTTTCTGAAGATTAAGTATACATATCGTTTAATGTACCTATGAGGTAATTGATCTAAATATGTGCTTGGTCATGAAAAATAAATAGTTTCCATGGTAATCATTAAAATAAATAAATTGGAATAAGAATTAACACTAAACTTTTATGACCAATGGGGTGGAGCCCCAAGACATCGGATTTTCGAAACAAGATTAGTCGTGTTGTCCAAATTATTACCTACTCTTATGAAAAGTTTCGGCTCAAATGGTTCTCGAGTTTTGCGTTCTTGCTGAAAATATATCATTGCCACAAAATCTCGTTAGTGATATATATAGTATAAGTATTATACTACTAGCAGAGTACCCGTCCTTCGTGGGGGTTGGCAAATAAGTACATGAAATGGTTATTGCAGTTATACTCAATCTTTGCGTTTGCAATGTGAGAAGACACGGTTTGAGAAAATTTGCTCCCTCAAATTTACGGTATGCAATACGGTAGTATTACACATCTACCATAGTTACAATGCTCTACCACTTCACCTACACAATTGAGAAAAATAGATTATTAAGAATTCGCAAAATATCACGAATTATTCATGAAATTAAAAACATAAACAACACTGTAAACAATCCTACTTTTACAGTTCTCATTTGTATCACAGGTTTTTGTTGCTGCTTAGTTCAATAGTTATTTGTGCAACTAGTGAGAAAAGTGAGCAATTGACTCACTCGAGAGAAATCCTTACTCACGAGCCGTAGGCGAGTGAGGAATGGTTTCTCGAGTGAGGCAATTGTACTTTGAACTCGAGTTGCACATTATACTTTTCCTACAGTTACCATAAAACAAATAAATTGGTGAAGAAACATAACCTATTTTTACACAGAAGTGAACTTTTAATATAACATTTAATGTGAAGTGACAAATACAACAGTACAACAGCTGACCAGCTGATTTACAGCCAGTGCTGCCAACGTATTTTGCGCGCATACGACGTTGCCTGCATGTTACGCGCTCACTATTTCGTGCCTTCACGTTGAAAATCTGGAGTGAGACAAAGTAATTAGAGTGAGACAATGTTAACATTGTCTCACTGATGAGCGAATTGGCCACTTTGCTTTCTCAAATCAGTGAGAGAACATGTACATTGTTAGGTAACTGTAGGAAAATTAGATTTTTTTTCATAAAATGCACTGAAATTGAATTTAAAACATCACTACTGAACATGAAAGTAAACTAGGAACATGTAGAAATATTAACAACAACAATAAGAACTCTCAGCTGGTACAAAACAATCATTGTTGCCAACTTAAAATCCATAACTCAAAATTTCTCTGAATAACGATAAACTATTAAAATTGTTTGACAACATTATTATCTTTTAAGAATTTAAAGACTTGTAACTTATTATATACCAAAAGTTGCGCAATTTAATCCTTTAAAATTTACTCATTTACTTATTTAAGCTATCTGTAATAGTTTAGGACTTATTGGCTAAAAACATAAATATTTACGGTAGCCATTTTGAAAAACCTTTCATACAAGGCCAACGCACCTCCGTAGAGTGGTAGACTTTTCACCATCGTTTTTTTCAGCCATTTTTACATAAGAATCCATTTACAGAAATTATATTACAATTACTTCTAGGTACAGGTAAATTTTAAGCTATTTTTACTAGTCTATATGTGAACCAAATGGACCAATGACTTTGGATACTGCAAGTAGAAAGTGTGGATACTGCAAGTAAACAAGACCATTCACTTTAAGAATAAGAATTGTTTACTGTCGTTAAACATGTATGTGCAATGGGCAAAGTCACATTTAAAATATCCTTACGCCTATGTGCGTAAACATTTCTCTTGTGTTCAGCAAAGTGCCACTTCGCTTACTTACACAAACAAAGAAAATATAAATTAGCTGCTAAAATGGTTTTCATCTTGTTTTGCTATTGAATACAAACAGCTGTTATTGTTTTTCAGATGCAATCTGTATTAATCCACCAACAAGTAATAGATTCATCTTTAATTACTGGAATTCTATTTTAATTTAATTTGTTTTAACATGGAGAAAATGGTATATTTGAGTAAAGCGGTCTTATACAATGAAAACACAAACAAATTTAAATATTGATACAATTATTGTATTTTGTTAATGGGGATTGTTGTCTTCTTCGGCCAATCAGGTAACGACTTAAACAGCTATAAAAAATATACAGTTGATGACCTCGATTCCAGCTGATTTTGTTTCACCTTCACCCCAGGAAGAAAAAGAGCTACTTTGTCTCCTCAACGCAATTTCTGTTTCAGGGATAACCCCGGAGATAATTTTATCCGCACCAGCAGAGTTTAGCCGATGGACTAAGCCTCAGCCTGTGATCAATCCTATACCTGCAGACTAAGGTGCCTTCTTCTTTCTTTTATACATCAGTACGTTGGTTGTATAATGGGTCATGTGCATTTAGTTTAACATAAGTATGTTTATTTATACTCAATTCAATTTTGTTGATTTTAGTTACAGTAATTAATTGTAAATACTAAATATTCATCTTTGATTTAAGATGATTTAATGATAGTTTTAATGGGGTTTTATAAGATAATTTGTATATTATGTTGAATTTAAACATTTTTAATTTTATTCATGGTAAAGTTATTGTCCTTACTTTGTTAAAGCATTTTATAAGTTAAAAATTAATTCAATGGCAAAATATTTCCCAAGAATAATTAAGTTGAGATCATGGTGAACTATAACAGATAAGGTGTCATAATGAAATCAAAATCTAAGAGCTAAGCAGTAATGGATTACCATAGATATTTTCTTGGGTGAATTATAAGTAGGGATGTCCCAATTCCTATCCTCGATTCCTCAAAAGCATTTGTTGAGTCTCGACATGTAGTGTTCGAGGTTTGGAGCCGATCCCTGCATGTTTTTAACCGGATTGTAAGATTATTCTTCTCTTACCATTGCATTGAAGTTATAAAAATGTTTAGTTAAAATTTAATACAGTATTGGATTTTAAAATCTTGAATTTTTTTTTACTCACCACTGATTGTACGCCTTAAACCAGACATATACACAAGAAACAGGTTACATTATATTAGTTTACAATTTCTTCCAAAAACAATTCATTCATTAAAATTAGACATGAAAGAAAAGTTAAGGTACTTTCCTGTTTAAGGGAACATTTATTATTATCGATGATTTTCAATCGATATATCGATATTAACGAATTGAAACTTATCAGCTGACAACTACGATAAATAAATATTGTTCAGTATCAATAAACAATTTAAATGAAACTGTTCCAAACCAACCTAACAAAACTAACCAAACTTGCTGTATAACATTTAAAAATTCTGTTTAATATTCCCCACATGCCTTTTCTATAATCAAACGGAATTTTTAAAATGGTACAGCAAGTTTGGTTGGTTATTTTAGGTTAGCTTAGAACAGTTTTAATCCATAATAGACTAGATTTTAGCCTGAACAAGATCAGTTGTCAATTTGTAATGGATCGTAAAGGGAAACAAAAATATCGATATATCGATTAAAAATCATCGATAATAATGGATGTTCCCTTTAACAGGAACGTACCAAAGTTAACCATACATTTCACTGTTGACTAACATGCTATTTGGTAACAAGGTTTGACAAACATTCAATTATTATTCATTCTGTACTTTTTGTGAAATTTTTACAGTAGAATATTATATTTTCCATTTATAAGTGCAGCTTCTGAAATAACTCGACAGCTAATTTCATTTGTACCTTTTTATCAAAGGAATACTGTGTATCTGCCATATTGGTCACAGTTTGTATAAAAATATATCCTTACAATTTAGAAATACCATTTAATACTGGAAATACCGGCTGCTTGATCAAATTAAGCTTTAAAAAAATATTTGTATTCGTGCGCTCTCAAGTTCCTAAAACTTCATGTTGCATCATTTGTGTAGGATTTTGTACCTTTTTAATATTTTTGTGAACTTTACAAAGTAACTAAAGAGTTGAACCAATAGGTTTGAGCTAAAACTAAAACATCAATAACATATTTATTTAATTAAAGAAACTTTATTTTTGACTATTGTATTTTTGATGCCATAGTTTTCAATGTTCTGTAAATTAAAACAAATGTTTTTTTACTTTATAAACTAAAAAAAAACTACTTTACTTTATCCATAAAGTAAATTATTGCTTTGTTCTTGTGCAATTTCTTTGTAGGTACTTTAAAAATGTTAAATTGAAATAGAATGTTATGTAGCATATAACCTAACATAGGTACTATATATGCTGGTGAGATCAATTTTCTTTTTTAGACCTACCAAATCAACGGTATTAATTGATATTGGACGATACCTATTACAGTAGCAAAACTAACACCAACATTTTTTTTTTAAATTTAACTCAATATAATGTTTAAACAAAATTAGGAGATAGGTTATGGTTATACAACTTAAATATTTTGTATTTTATTTGTATCCTTTTTTAGTGTACAACTAAATTAAAGTACCTTGGATAAAGATTCCCCTATATTTGTATAAATCCAAATTCAGGTACATGCAAACATGACGTGTATTGCTACTAAGTTTTTACCATGCATTTTTACTCCTTAAAACTTCCAATTCGAACATCTTTAGGTTCAAATTGTATAGTTTATTAATAAATATCCTTACCAATTCTCAAGCCCAAATCCAAAATATTAATTCCCTGATGGGAAATAATAATTCATTATTAACTTGTTTTTTTTTTTATCATCTGCTTACAGATTAAACTATTTATTTTTTTGGTTTTAAAATAATTATACTAATACTGTTGACTAACTGGGCTACAAACCCAAGGCTTTTTAATATGTTATTTTTTTTAATTTAGATTCAAAGGCTTTAAGGTAAATTAAATTAACAATTTAATGTAAGTCACTTATTATTTTGCTTATTATAAAAAAAGGTACCACATAAATTAAAAAAAAGGTTTCTAGTTCAACAAATTCTATATAATCATAATTTGTTATTGTTTTATGACCTTTATAAGACCACTATAGTTAGTTTTTCTGCCGTTAATCCATATTTTCCATGACCAATATTTTTTAGTTTGTTAGCACATATTTTTTTTATTTTTCCGAAATCACTTTTCCTTTTCATTGACTGTTGAACTTTATATCATTCAGGCACTAAAAATATTTTAATTTTGCCTGTTTGGTTCTTCAAAAACCCCAAGTTGTTTGTAACTTTTTTGTTTGTTAGTATCTAATATTTTCTTACGAGCCCATTTCTTAAGTAGTTTTCTCTGCAAGAAAATAGTATTTCAATAGTAGGTAATTTACGCTACAAGGCCGGGAACTATGTGTTTATGTTCATGATGGTTCAGCTGATATTGGAGTCCACCAGACTTGACCTACCCTTTCTGTAAACAAGACCTTAAACTAGCTGCTTATTTTGTAGTGTGGGAAAAGAGTTTGTTTTTTCACATTCTTACCTTTTACATAACCAATTAAAGAGTCGTAGGTTGAATAAAAACTGTTGATAACAATAGTAATTCATATGATAAAGCTTAATTTGTTATAACAATTACATTCTTTACCCAAATCTGCGCACAGCAGATATGGCAAAGATGTTTATAAAATAATATCCTTTCGAAAGGTAGCGTTGTATAGTGTGTAGAGCACTGACTCTGTTTTTGATTAGCAGTTAAACATTTATCCTACTCTTTTCAGCTCTCCATGCACAAATAATCTGCTTTGTATAAATCTAGGACACTTTGTGATATATGTCAATTCTTTTGTATATAAATTGAGCTTTTGACTAATGTACCATTGAAAAAATAATATTACATTCCGATTTTATATAGTTTGTATCAAACTTTTCTAATCTGTACATAAATATTTGTATAGTATAAACATATGGGGTGTATACATAATTTGTAACTTTGTATATATTGTAAAAGTTATGTAAATGTTGAAATGTTTTAATAGAATATGCTCAGTTTCTTTTATGATAAATTTCTTTGTTTACCTTAAGTAATGAATACAAACCAATTATAGGCACACCCTTTGGGAAAAACCAAGATTAAAAACAAATAAGAACGTTACTTTTCGCTACACAACAAAGACAAATTATTTTCTTAAATAAAACAGACATTGGATATTTCTTTATTGCAGTTAGAAACATTACAAAACTCATAGCATTTTTTAGGTTATGCCTTCAGTTAATATTTACTTTGGTGGTACAGTTTTGGTTGTTGAAAATTTGAAACAGTTGACAAAACAACAACAAAACTGTTGATTGTTTACGTCGGAAAAATTTCACAGTAATTTCACAGTAGTGTAGAGAAAATATATTTTGTAGTCAGCTGCTTTAAAACTAACATTTGGTGTCAATTTCATACCAATGGAAAAATTAATTACCAAACTACCTCCAAGTAATTCAATACTTTTGTATAGAATACATAAAGCAGCATAACACTTATCTCAATTTTTTACATTTTGTCAGTCCTCATTTGTTTTTATACTCATTTCCTTTACAGCAAAGCCAACCTAATAAACTGAACTGAGGTACAACGAGGCATATTGTGTAACAAATTTGTGGAATATTTTCCCTGTTGTTAATAGCACTTAATCTTTAAAAATTCATCTTTATAATTGAATATTCTGTTATTTTGTAACTTGTTGTATAGATTTATTATTTATATTGTTATTTGTATGATTTTATTTTTAAATGATTTATATATTTTATTCTATTCTCTATTGTTATCTATTAAGGTAAAGGGTTAAAGTAAGTTAAGTTGTATCCAAAGACTCTTTTCATATGTTGGTATTGTACTGTCAAAAACACATGAAAACCTTGTCAGATTTAATCTACTCAATAACCATAATAATTTGAACGTTTAAAAGCGCCAGGAGCTAGAAACGTCACTGTTCATTGTTGTTTAACGTTTTCATGGATCAGCCAGCTCGTCACAAGCGTCCTATATTTCTTTGCAGCTCGTGGGGACGTACTTTTCTGACAATAAAAAATATAGTTTCCCAAAATCACCACCAGGGTCATATAGAACAGGTTTTTGCCCCACCTCTTTCCTGCTAGATAGCGACACTACTTTACCGACTGCAACCTGGGTAGTGCTGCTATCTATCAGAATCACTTAGTACTATGTCCAAAGCCAGTTTTATTGCACAACATCGCCATCCAGTATAACTACTGTTGTTTTTACTGTAATTCGGTGTATCGGCGGCAATGTTACGCAGTGGCAAGCGTTAGTTCAGCTCCTGGCGCTGTCCCGACATCTAGCGGTCAGCAGCGAACGTGTTAAGGGTTGATTTCACAACTTTTAAATCGTGTGATGGCTCAAAATAAATGTGTAAATGTGAACAATAGTGACACCAGAGTCCCACTAATCCAAACCAATTGGAGTGCAGTTGGAGATGCAATAAAATTGTATTAAAAAATGTATCTTCTTTGATTTTAAATGGCAATATATTGCTTCTACGGTCACAACAACACCATAGTTGTCTCCCATAATCTTGAAAACACCGTGATAGTCCCACACTTCATTGGGTAACATCGTAATCATTTCCTACAATCACGGCGACACCCTGATTGTCTTCCATAATTTCGGAAATGTACATGATTATCTACGTACCACTATTGTGGCAACACCCGTGATCATTTCCTGCAATATATTTTTTTTTTCTACTTGGCAACCTTAAGAACTAATTAATAGAACACCGTTATGAATATGTGCTTGGCCATAGGAAGTTGGAGATTTTAAATTTTTTAGTCAAAAAAATTCATGTAGACCTACAATATTCAAGTTTCCGGGTGTCCAGATTGGATGGATACCCTTGTTCTTAACACATAGCTCTATTTAATGTGAATACAGTAGCTGTTTCCCCCTAACCGCAGATAGGATTAGCGGGACTCTGGTGTTTTAAATTACTAATGTTGGGACTGGCTGAAAACTCATGTGGCTAACCTTTTGTGCGCTGTTGTCCAGCTGAACTAGTCATGTCTTTGATACAAGTTGCGAGATCGGAATTATTTTAATATCATAGTTGCTCACTAGGTATCTCCAGTAGTAAGCAGACACAAAACTAAATACATCGTAAAAAACCAATGATTTTAATTTGTTAATACCACTGGCTATCCGAGCGACAAC